ACCTTAAATGTATAAATATATAACAAATTTGAGTTATGTATATAAATCCTAAAATATTAAAAATAAAACTCCTAACCTCTTAATTACATGAATAATTTTTTAAAAAATAAATTATAAATTGTTAGTAATTTAATGATATATCATATATATGTTTATATACTAAATGTATAAATACATAAAAATTTAAATTTATGTATAGAAATCCTAAAAATAAAAACTCCTAACCTCTTAATTACATGTATACATTTTTTAAATAATAAATTATAAATTATAAAATTTGTAAATTGAAACTCAAATTCATAATTTTGCAGATTCCAAACCGTGCACAGCTTCTAACCACGCACATTAAAAAAATCGCTGACCCCATCAGTCACATCAGAGAACAATAGTCACATCAGTGCGGCAGAAGAAGAAATAGTGACAAGAAGTTTTGGCTCTCTCTCTCCCTCTTCTCCCCCTTCTCTCTCTCTCTCCCCCTTATCACCTCCTTCCTCTTTTCAGACTCCAATCATGTAGCCACATATATAAGAACAGCACCAGGACCATCTTCCCAAACAGTTTCTCAGATCGAGATCCAACACCAATAGCCAGAGATCGAAATCTCTCAACAGAGTAATTAAATGGAAGCGGAGGCCTTCAAATCTCTCTCTATGGACTTTCTCAACCTTCTCATCAACGGGCAAGCCTTCAGCGACGTCACCTTCAGCGTCGAAGGCCGTCTCGTTCACGCCCACCGTTGCATCCTCGCCGGCCGCAGCCCTTTCTTCCGCCGCTTCTTCGACTCCCCGCCTGCAGCTAATCTGCACCGCAGAAACAACTCTTCGCTCAGATCAAGCTTAGTGATCCCCGTCAACTCTGTTGGCTACGAGGTTTTTCTTCTCGTTCTACAGTTTCTCTACAGCGGTCAGGTCTCGCTTATTCCTCCTAAGCACGACCAAAGGCCGAACTGCGCTGAGCGAGGCTGTTGGCATACTCACTGCTCTTCGGCCATCGATCTCGCTCTTGATACTCTCGCTGCTGCGCGTTCTTTCGGAGTCGAGGAGCTCGTCTTCCTCACGCAGGTCAACGCACTCATACCATATATATATATACATACATAAAGTTGGTCAATCAATTCATTTCTGATTGAAAATTAAACAGTATTTTTATTTGATTTGTTGGACTTTCTTCTGTCTTCCTCTTCTTCTTCTTCCTAGCTAGATCTCAGATCAGTTCAAATTAATTAGCATAATTGGTCAAACTTAAACTTAATTACACTAATCCTTTGGTATTTTTGAAGGATTTTATTTCATATGTAGAAGAATTCTTCTTTTCTTTTTCATTTTTCTGCCTGTGGTGCTTCTGTATGATCTGAGTTTATTTGTCTTAGAAGAAATTCATTGAGACATCTTAATTGTAAATTAGGGTTCTAATTTCTTACTCAGAGTTTTTCAGGCACTGATCCCAATCTATACTGTATCTATAGTGTTTGGTCCACACTTTATATATCTCTCTCCCAACTTTCCCACAACTAATTCCTTACATCATACAGTGCTTACTTTTGCAATACTATTCTTCTAATTAAGCCGTATTAAAGCAAAGCTCAAACCCTAATTTTCTTCATCATGCTTTCATTACCTCCTCTTTATTTCAACAGTAATTAAAGCTTCTAAATTACTTTCTGTCGAATCTTTTTAGTGCTGTAATCTTTATTGGTTGTTTATTTTCTTTCATCTAAAATTAATTATTACTAACTGGCTGTATGTATATGTGTGTATATGTTGGTGAAATAATGCAGAAGCAGCTGGAGAACATGGTAGAGAAAGCTTCCATAGAAGACGCCATGAGAGTTCTTCTTGCTTCTCGAAAACAAGAAATGCATCAGCTGTGGAACACCTGCTCCCACCTCGTTGCCAAATCAGGCCTCCCACCAGAGGTATTAGCCAAGCACCTCCCCATCGACATTGTTGCCAAGATTGAAGAGCTTCGCATTGAATCCTCCTTCTCTCGCCGCCCCTCCTTCCTCCACAACAACCACCACCTCCCCCTCGACATCGCCGTCGCCGTCCCCAAACACGACGATTACCACCACAAAATTCGACGCATGCGTCGCGCCTTAGACTCATCCGACGTCGAGCTCGTCAAACTCATGGTAATGGGAGAGGGGCTTAACCTCGATGAAGCCCTGGCCCTCCATTACTCAGTTCAGAATTGCAGCCGCGAGGTCGTCAAGGCTTTGCTTGAGCTCGGTGCAGCCAACGTTAACTTGCCGGCCGGCCCGACTGGCAAGACGCCTCTGCACGTCGCTTCAGAAATGGTAAGTCCCGACATGGTGGCCGTCTTGCTCGACCACCATGCCGACCCCAATGTCCGAACGACCGACGACATTACACCGCTCGACATACTCAGATCCCTCACCTCCGACTTCCTCTTCAAAGGAGCCCTACCAGGGCTCTCCCACATCGAGCCCAACAAGCTTAGGCTGTGCCTGGAGCTCGTGCAGTCAGCAGTAATGGTGCTTTCGAGGGAAGAAGCTGCTGCAACTGCGACGAATGGTAATAGTAATAATGCAGGTGGGGCAATATACCATCCATTGATGAGTGTTGAAGCAGGAGACATGGGCAACGAAAACGTGGATAGTAGCCTTAGTTTGGATTCGAAGATGGTTTATCTGAATCTTGGAATGGCGGCAGTGGGAAGTATGGACTGTGATAGCAGCAGAAATAGGTCGCAAGGGAGCAGTGGTGGGATAGGCTTGTCTTCCATTTATTCTCAGCATGATCATTTCCCATAGCTGCGCAGGCTACATACCTTCTTTTTAAAAGCAATGGAAAATGTTCTCTCTGTTTATCTTTTATATTTTGTGTATGTGTTCGATCATCTACATTTTAGTTTATATTGTCTATATTTTAATGTTGTATATTTACTTTTTTTTTTTAATTATTAATTAGCCACAATCACATTATAATAAACTTGATTAAAATGGTTAATTTACTTGATGTTTGGTTGCACCATTTTCTTTAATGTGACTGAAAATTAATAATCTTTTGCTTTACTTTTCATATACAATTTAGCCACACTGCTTTACTTTTCATATATATATATATATAAAAATAAATGGGGGGGGGGGAGAGAGAAAACAAGAATCTAAATGACCAACTTCCTCCTCTTTTGCTTTAGTAGTGGTAGAGTTATAAGGTGAAGGAAACACATCCTAGCCTCAAGAAAGCTAATATTTATTTTCTCTTTATGTGCTTTATATCTTTACCTAATTCTTTATCTAAATTCTTGTAGGCCAGAGGCCCTCATCTACAACTATGAAATCTACCCCTCACTAGCTCCAACCACTCCTATAATCAGTTGTAACCCTCATCCCTTTATAAATGATTCTTATCATGCTATTTTAAATGTCAAATAACTCATAAATCATATTATCTTCTCAAAACACTACAAAAATCCTACCTCCAAACACCTCAAAATATTTTAATTGTTCATCCTCTTACCTCGAAGACCAACTTGCAAGTTGATACTTCAATTATAGGTGTCAAATCCTCCTCCATCTTCTATTGAAAGTTCAACTTCGTTTCTCACACTATAGTCAGTATATATGATGAACTGGAAAGGGTTTCTCTCTAATCAAATCCTATCCCCATTGGGCTAGCTTTCCTGTTAACTTTGTCCATATAAATAATGAAGATGTCTCCTTCTTAATTAGATTTTGAGATGATACAAAATGTAAAGGATTGAGAAAATGTAGCTAGGCTCTAGTTTATAAGGCTCTTAAAAAGCAATGGAAAAATTTAGGAAGCTCAACGAAACCCTAATCTTATTACAATGAATGAGGTCTTCTGACTTTTTAAGCTCTCATATAAAGAAGACTTTGTATATGCATGGATGGTGGTATGTGATTATTTATGGGTAAACCTTCCATTCTAAAAAATATATTGTAGCTACTATTTCAGCTATTATTGTGCATGAATAACTTGAGGTTGAGGGTATTTAGTTAAATTGCATATGCAATAGCATGTGGTGAGTTGTACGAAGATATTTTTTCTGAAAGATGATAATGAGAATCTAAGGGACTTGTTCCTCTTTTGATGCGGTAATGTTAGAGTTATTATGAGTCTTTATATGATCTATCTATTTCTCTTGTTCATTTCTCTAAATTCTTATAACCCACAAGTGATCTTGTACAACTATCAAATCTCCCCCTCTTTAGTTATTGCTAACAAGCAGTTATAAGTCAATTTTATTTAGTTATTTGGCACTTATATATGAATGCTAAATTAACTCTTCATTCTTAATGTCTATTTCAAACACTACAAAAATCTTACCTACTGACACCTCAAAATATGTTATACTTCCTCTCACCTTCAAAACCAATCAACAAATTGGTACCTCAATTCTAGGCACCAAATCTTCCTCCCTCTATTTCTATTAAAAGAATAACTTCCTTCATCACACTACATGCATTATAATGAATTGGAAAGTGCTTGTCTCTACTCAAATCTAGGGGTGTCAATATTTGACACGACACGAAAACCCGACCCGGAAAATCCGGGTTGAACCCGACCCGATTTCAAAACGGGTCGGGTTCGGGTTCCAGATCAGTTCCAGGTTCGACCGGAACCTGACCCGTGACCCGAAATTGACACCCCTACTCAAATCCTATCATCTTTGTACTTTCCTTTCAACTTTTCCCAAAGTAATGATGAAGAGGTCTCCTTAATTATTATCTTTGAGATGATGGATGTCCCTAATGATTTGAACATGTTGAATCTTATTAATTTCTTGCTTAAAAGTGATAATATACATCGCTCTTTAGAACTAGTAAAAAAAGCTAAGAAGCTCAAAGGTGAAATATTTTAACAATCTTAATACTTTTTTCAGTGAATGAGGTTTTCTTCCTTTTTAAGCTTTCTTGAAAGGAAGACTTTCTTTTGCATATATAGATGGGTAGTATATATGAGAACTTTTAGGGAAAATCATTCAAGAAAAAGTTTACATTGACCCCTCGTAAAAAGGAATATATCAAGAACATTGAAGGTAGATGGTGTTAATTTTAAGATGAGGAGGTAGCTCCACAATATAGACATTATCATTTATACGTTCGAGGATCGGCACAAGACATATTTGTGGGGGCTCAACTTAGAATATGTTCATTATGGGAAACATTCCTTGTGCAACCTAACCATTATAATATAAAGGGCAAGGGTTAAAGGGTCACCCTATCTAATACCTTTGGGATCCTTTAAAAAAATAATGAATTATCATTGATGATCACAGAAAACCAATAATTTTCAATTATGCTTTTGAGGATGTAGATAATTTTTTCATCAAAGTCAAAATGCTTCAAAACATTAAACATAAAGTTCCAATTGACGTTATTATAAGCTTTTAGAGATATCAAGCTTCATAATTAAATTGTGGCCATGGACTTTTTTATATATCTTGTGAAGTAATTCTTGAGCAAGCAAGACGTTATTAGCAATATTTCTACCTTTTAACAAAACATGTTTGATTAGAAGAAATAATATTGGGAAGTAAAAATAGATAATCTATTAGACCTAATCTTGAAAATAAATTTTAAAGGTAGTGCACAAGCCAACTGCAGAGTCCTTATTCACAGACATTAAAACATTAAAAATCTCACCCTCATCAAGGTACTTAGAAAAACTAAAATTACCCTCATTTTTAATAATAGCAGGAATAATAGAAGGGTTGGATAACGGGAGAACATTCTTAGAAACATCAAAAGAAGATTTAAAGAAAGTTAAGGCAGAACCAATAATTAAAAATTGATCATTACTTACACCATTCTCCAGACGCCAATTTAATCATATTGATTTGAGCTTTAACTTTCTTAGAATTAAATAAGGCGTGAAATACTTAGTGTTTCTGTCACCATCGCAAATGTATTTAGCGACAGCTTTTTGTCTCCAATATTCTTCTTCCATTGATTGGAGATTAATCAAATTTTTCTTAGCTAGACACACCTGATGCATGCCAATCAAAAATACTCGTGGAAGAAGCAAATTGGTTTTCAAGGGAAATCACTTTTTTCTTAGCAAAAATAATATTATTAAAGATATTACCAAACCTTTTTATTCCACCATCTTAGAAATTATTTTAGCCTCTTAAGTTTGAGGAAAAGCAAGACCATATAACTATTCCCCTTAAAATAAGGCAAGGGAGCAACCAAATTGTTCTTCACAATATATAAGAAATCCTCAAGCAAGAGCCACATATTCTAAAAACATAATAAAAGGAAATCGGTCAAAGACAGTCATACTAAGGTGTTCTACCACAGTTTTAGGGAAAAAAAGCCACTCCCCAATGAAAAGCAACTTATCACACAACAAAAAAATTGTCAATTATTAGCGACAATTTCCGGTAGTTAATTAATAAACTGCGTAGGAAACGAACACCAGCGGCTATTTTCTGGCGGTTCTATTTTCTGGCGATTTTTCGGCAGATAAATAGTCAGAAATTAATAAATCCAAATTGTGGGTAAATCACCCGTAATTTCTGGCAATTAAACGGTTGAGAACCGCCATTGTATTGCTGGCGGTAAACACTGCCGGTATGTCTAACAACCAAACCGCGCGCCGGTTATTATCGCTGGCAAAATTAAAAAAATCGACAGTTTCTGAAAGTCGTCCGGTATCTACGTTTCTAGGGGCCAAACCACTGATTAGCCGCCAAAAACCTGTAGCATTTGTAAAAAAAATTTGATAGCCCCCTTCTATTTACACCAATTTTCACAATTACTTGCAGGTAAAAAATATATACAAAATAATTTTTTATTTTCAAAATTAAGAGATCAGTTCATATGAAAATAACAATGCACAGTCAACAAATATATTTACACAATTCATAATAACTAGAAAGAGTTCTTTAAACAAATAATAATGCATATATTCCACAATCAACATAATATATGAAATCCGCACTCAGATGTTCTAAATACACTAAATAGTTTTTCAAATAACTAACAACAAATAACAACAATAATTATCCACCGTGTCCTCGTTGTCATATGAAGCAAGTGTAGAGTCTTGCTCTTTTTTTCTTCTCATTTTCAGCTCGATATGATCGCAGCTCTACCTGCATCTCATTTTAAATTTTTATCATCTCATGTATCTCTCTTGTCAGGGCAGCAACACTCTGACTAACAGTTTTTTCAGCTCCACTAATATCATAAAATACTGAAGTAGATGTACTGCCCTCATAAGCATACCCCTGTGAACTTAAGCCATAAACCCTCCCCCTCTCCCTTCCGCAATAACGTCTAACCACGTGTGATACTCAAAATACATAATAGAGGTGCATTGAAGGCTCCAAGTTGGGACGACATTAGCCTCACATATCAATAAATATTCGAAATGACACCTCTTTCTCCCTATTTAATAGCGTTTGATGTTATATAAAAAGTAGGCTAAAGATGTTTGATCAATCTCCTCTCTTCTCTCTCTCTCTCTCTCTTTTTCTACTAATACATCACCATATGATATCATGTCTAACTGAACTAGGAATCTCTATCCCTGCCAATATTTGATATAATGTATAGAATCATTTATAATATTACTATATCTCTTGGTAGAGAAATTATTTTGTGCGGTGTCCGAACGCGTCCGGAGGCCAATCCGAACACGCCATATCACCTAATGCACAATGCATTGGGTGACATGGCGCGTTCGGATTGACCTCCAGACGCATTCGAACACCGCACATAATAATTTTTCTTCTTGGTGAGGATGTCATCATACGGAAAGGCAATTTGAAACTATATTGTGAAATTTAAGGAATCGACTATTAATCCCACCAAATCATACCCACTCCCCTAAAAAAAAAGCTTAATATGAGCCTACCCAGATGTTTTTTATTGATTTTCCTCTTTACTGTTCATTCCATTTGTTGCCATTTACCTCAATTTTTATTCTCCTTTTAGAGCTACTCTCACATTGTAGTATAAATCTATTATTGCTCATTCTCATTGACCCAGCTTCCATATACCTCTTATTTTTCTTCAATATACAAAATCAAGCTACATCCACATTCATCCTTCAAAAAAAAAAAAAATCTACAATTGAGAATTGAATTAGTGAGGAAGCTCCCTCTCTTGTCTTTTCAAGGTTTTTGTTTTTATTTGACACATATTTATAGCATCTATGGTCTCATGAGCTGTTTATTTATGAGCCTTTTGTTCTTGTCTCCCCCTTTTTCTTCACATTAATCAAATCCTGCATGGGCACCCTCTGACTCCCTCTCGATTAAAGACCATCTCCCTCTGTATAGTTTTGTTCACTAATGCTTCGTCTATGATGATCAAAGCTTCTTTTTTTTTTTTTTTCTTTTAAAATCTTATTATCAATAATCTTTCGTTTGGTTTCATTGCACGTGCAATGAGCAAAACACACTGTAAACATTAAAAGCTCCGTACTCTTTCAGCTGCTTCTGCAGATAATAATTTTACTATGGAAATGCGTTATCATGGCCTTGTCTGCTTCTGTAAGGCTTTATTTATCACAAGTGAATAAGAAGAGAGATGCAATGGCTAGTTTTGATGCTTTCGAACATGCATTCCTCCTCTGCTCCAAGAGAAATTATCTTTAGTCAGGACGGAAACTGATTATTCTGTGAGAAATTCGGACGGAAAGTTTTCGTCGAATTATGAGTGTACACAGTGATTGTGCACACTGTGTACAAAATTGTACACAATGTAAATACTATGTACACTCAGAGTCCGGACAGAAACTTTCCGTCCAAATTCCACACAAAATAATTTCTCCACTCCAAACTTGGAACTCCTATGAAACTTCAAAACGGGACAGAATCTCTGTGAGAACACTGTGTTTCATTCTTACTTTACCCATTCATTTAATTTGTTTATTATATTGTAAGTTTGGTTGATTGATGAAGCTAAAAAAAGATGAAAGATGGTGAAGTTGATGGTTTAATGGGGGTATAAGGCTGCAAGTGGGGAGATTTAGGCCTCGTTTGGGACCGCTTTCTTAATGTTTTTTAAAACAATTTTTAATATAAAAGTTAAATTATTTGTACTTAAAAAATACTTTAAGAAGCAGTAAAAAAGACGTCCCAAACGAAGCCTTAATGTGAAAGATTGGATGGCTAATTCATGGAAGCCAACTAATGGACAGCTGCAGAAGTGACAGTCAGTGACATGACCGTTGGAGTTTTTCTTTGGACATCTCATGCGACAAGGACTTATTTGGAAGAAAGAGGATCTGATGATTTGATAGAAATTCTAAGCCCTTTCTTTTTTCTTTTTGGGAAATTGAGATAAGAGGGGCTAAAAAGAGAATTAAGGGCAAAAAAAGTTACAAATTTGTAAAACCTTAAAAACAAAAGAGGTGGGACCAGCAAAAAAATCAGCTGAGTGCAACCATTAGTTTGATTTATAAGTAATTTGATATAAACAGAAATCAAAATAGTGTGAAAGAGAACCAGATGACCAAAAATATAATCAGCAAGACAAAACAGACAATAGCCATTAACAGCAACAGCAATAAGCCCAAGAAGCAAAATCACGAAGGAAAGAGGAAGGTGATAATGCTAGATGATTGATCCAAATGTTTCTAAGTCATTTTATTCACTCCAGATATTACAAATCAGACAAAAGATGGCAAAGAATAAAAAATTTTGGCATACACCCCTTCAAATTAGTTGATTATAAGCCTCATTAATTGAAGAAATTATTCTGTATGGACACCGGATGGCAAGAACCGCCCGAATTTGCCGCACTTTGACTGTCATTTTGCTGCGCTTTTACAAATACTCAGCAAAAAGCAACAAAAATGCATTCATAATTGCATATTTGTTGCCCTTTTGCTGAGTCTTTGCAAAAGCGCAGCAAAAAGACAGCTAAAGCACAGCAAACACCCTACAAATTGAATACTTGCTGCCCTTTTACAAATAATCAACAAAAGGGCAGCAAACATGCATTCATAATTACATATTTGCTGCCTTTTTGGAGAACTGGCAAAAACATAAAATCATAATATCGGTAGTTTGGGGTGCCCATAGAGTGTAAAAAATTCCAAATATGTTAACATTGTAAACAGAGTTCAAGATCGATTGAGGAGGAATCTCGAGTCCCTCTTGATTGTAGGGGTACATGTGTTTGCCTAGTGATTAGGTGGGCCTTTTTAGAACCAACATCACTATTAAAAGAGGAACTTAGCTCAGAAGCATTCAAGCTTCTTGACTACAGTACTGGGAAAAAAAAGGGGCTTTAACTCACATGTAACCAGATCCCTGATGGAAATGGCAATAATCGTTGATAATCTAAAAGTTACGACTTACATCAAATTAGGTCTTCATTTGGGATGGTTTTCTTACTGCTTTTTAAAGTAGTTTTTAATGCAAAAATTTAAATTTTTGTAGTAAAAACTGCTTTAAGAAGCAATAATTAGTAAAAAAAATTAATTTTTTTAATAAAAACTGCTTTAAGAAGCAATAAGAAAGCTGTCCCAAATGAAGCCTAAGAGGCATAACATTGGAAGCTAAATGAGAATTAAGAGCACCAGAGTACCTAGTGATTATAGAGAAGCATTTGTTGCCTTTTGTTGCTGTTGACTTTTAAGTTTTTTTCAAGCAAGAAAAAGACTAGGAAGGAGCTAAGGCACTCAAGATTGTCATAGCCATAAAAGTAGTTTTGCTGGTTTTGATAGGAATGATGGTTGATGATGCGTGCAATATATAGGTTGCTTTAGAATTTGGAAGTTAATACAATGCAATAAATACAAAAGGGGCATTTAAATACATAGCACACAAAACTATTCTATTTAAATATTTAACACCTAAATCTTACGAGTTAATCACATTTATTACTGCTAAATTCCTGTTAACCATGCTTTTCCTTTGCTACTTCATTAAACTCTTCTTCATTGATGAGGGTTTCAAGTGCGCACACCACTAGTCACATCAATGGCCTCCCAACAAGCTCTCATTGTGAGTTCATCTAATCTTCTTCATCGTCGAGGTTTTTGCAAGCACAAGCCATAGGTCTCATTAATGGCCTCTCCCAATAAGATATAGTCGCGACTTCTTCTTCACATGTCATCGTCCTATCATCTTCCCACCACGAGATTAGATCACGACTTCCTCTCTCATGCAAGAGAGGTTGTGTTAAGGGAGTGGCATCACATTCAAATAATAAGGTGTAGGGGTTAAATATATAAATATGATGATTTTAAATGTTATGCATGTAAATTCCCCAAAAAATTATAATAATCCTTCTAAAAATAATTATACTTAAAAAAGGAATTTTTTTAATAATATTCACAACTACTGCAGCTAGATGAAAAAAGGTGTTTTATATATACTAATACACATCAACTTTAGGAGCAAATACGTAGCTCACCTTGGTCTGTTAGTTGAGAACTTTGCTATCAACAAGAGATCTTGGGTTCAAGTCTTTCTTATGTATTGTGTGTGTGAGTTTGCCTTAATTGACCTAAATGCCCGTAAAAAAACAAAACCTTTAGGCGCAAACAGCAAGAAACTATAATTGTAAGTGTCGATTTATTTGGAAAGTGAAACAATACTCCAAATGTAAAGACATTTAAATCCAATGCAAGTAAAATAAAGCTTTGCTGATTTTCTTTTTTATGATGTGGTAATGTCTACAAGCATCAATTAGCTTAAAAAGATTGTTCTAAAACAAACAATCTGATAGAAATAACTATGTTAATAATAGAGAAACATAAAATATAATGTATCAAGATTTTGTAAAATAGGTGATGGATTCTTCAATATATGAAGTTAGATTAGCACGAGTGCTTTAATAGTCTCCAGAATTTATGAGAAAGAACATTCGCTAATAGTTTCCAGAATTTATAGGTGTCTTTTTAGAGAGTAGACTGGAAATAATCTTACTGCATAATTTCATGAGCAACTGTTCTTCCTGATCATAGATGGGGAATAGCAGTCTATAAATTGGTCTGCTAACATACAGTAATTAAGTCCTAGCTTGTCTGTGTCTTACAAAATACTTTTTCTAGCCCTGTATGTGTTGATATTTTGGTTACAATTGGGATAAATTTTTCAATTATATAGACTGCACAATTCTATTTCATTATTCATTTTTGATTATCTTCTTAAAATTTATGAGATAAGAAGAAAATTATCACAATCAAATTTACTAAAATACAGCTATAAAAAGTCATGATTTCACATAAAAATTTCACAATTGATCTTACTCTTTCCATTGTTAACTGTATTAACTAGTTAACTCTTTGAGTTGTCTCTAAATGGAATTAAGGACCTGCTTCTGCTTGTCTTTTCAAAATAGATGATTGTCGGTTCTCGTTATTAGCCACTTGATTAATCCAACAACAAATAGTGCAGCTTTTATATTGATATAAGCGTCAAACCTAAAATTATATAGCCGTTGAACCTTAAAAAACTGTGAAAGAAAGCCGACAAGTTTAATTCTAAAAGAAATTATATTTCTGTTTGGCGATGAGAAACAGTTTCCATAGTAGCTTGATTACTCTACGATTTTCATGTCATAATTATTTGTTCTATTGGAGAAAAGGTTGGAGTAGATCTAGTAGCAAATAAGATTAGAGAGAGTCGCCTTAGATAGTTTGATCACATAAAACGATAGCCTTCCGATGATCCGGTTAAGAGAATAGATATATTAGATTTAACCTATCTTAAGAAAGATAGAGGCAGACCTAAAAAGACTTGGCCAGAGAATATTAAAAATGAAATTTTTTTATTAAATTTAAATGAGAATTTGAGTCTTAAGAGGATACCAATGAAGAAAAAGGATTCATAAAGCCAACCCCACGTAGTGTGATAAAATCTTGATTTTGTTGTTTTTGGAGAATTGATGACAATGCATATCAAAAATATAATTAAAATATTAGATGATGTAATGAAAATTCTATACAAAATTTGCTAGAAGAAAAGGGGAAAATCCCTCAGCTATTATTAAGTTTTCTTTGATTTAGTCTCTCGACTATTACAAATTTGATCCCAAATAAACCTTCATATAGAAATTGAAAAATTTTGGGTAAAAATTTATCCCAACTTAGTTCTTCGACGGTACAAAATGGATCCCAAAGTATCATTCTTATTTATTCTAGTCTGTTCATACAAAAAACTAGCAAAGCCATATAAGGTATTGTTCAAGAGCTATCCAGGCCTTGCTAATATAAATATCTCCATCTCAATATATTCATATTTCAATTTGACCCAGAAATCAGCTTGGTCAGCTCTCAAGCCCTCAATTTGTTCACAATATGATTCAACCTACACTTGAAATTATCAGAATGATGCCTTAGGCCATCTAGTTTTACTTTCACAGTGGAAATATCCTTCATCGAATCTTCATGACAAGAATGGAATAGGAATTGAGAGTGTCAAGCCTTGAACTAATTAAGCTAGCCAGCGCCTCAATTTAACTCTCCATTACATCTAATCTAACTATAAATTTCTTAGCATCAACAGCCAAAGCAATTCACTGTGGTCGCATATGGGAAAATTCTCTGTCCCAATTCATCCTCAGCATCTTCTTCTCCTTCCTCATCCTTAATTTTGTTGATTCCTCCGTTGAACTAAAGGAGTAACACTAATCAAGTACTCAAGTTTTTCAAACAAGTTAGTCATGGAGACAATATATATATACCATCAGAACACCGGATCCCCCATATTAAGGAATAATGGCTTGAACCTAAGAAAAAGTTGTATCAGCGGCATCACCATTTCTTTCTGTAACATCTTTCACATGCAAACTACATCAAAAGTTTTCTCTACCGTTTTTAAAGACTTCTTTGGCCTGAGAGAATCGAAAACTACAGAAGGAAGAACCTCCATGACGAAAGAAAAAGATGGAATCCTAGCTGTTTATGTGGCATTATCAAATACTTAATCTAACATTAAATGATAGAGACATTCCAACTTCATCCCAGCGATTAACTGTGATTTGAAGGCAATTAACCCTGATGATTGATGAAGTTGTGTTGTGGTGTTCAATTAATCTTCAATTTAACTCTTGAAGAAACCATTTTTATAAACAATAGAAGTCACATCTCTCGAGGGGACAACTAACAGTATCGGATTGACAGATTTTTCTTAATCAATTTCATGATATTGAGAGCTCTTCAGAGAGTAATTTCGATTCTCTCTGCATGATGAACGCAGGCCTTAAGACCAATTCACTAAAATTATTTTCCACGGTATGAAATTCTACTGAGGCAATCTGTCAAACACCTTCACGGCATCCATAAACTCTTATGCCATAGATTTTAAGCCTTGCACAGCATCAGGATCTGAACATGACTTCAACATCTCTCTACAATTCGATCTTGGAAGTTGTTGCCACGATCGAATCCCTCCTCCATCATATTTTTCTTTTGGCATACAAATCTTCTCAGAAAAAATTTAAATAATAAAGTTAAAGAAGAAGGGCAGAGGCTTTGCCTGTATGGGCGTCGTGGAAAAGCTACAGAGAGAGCACCATTCACGCAGCGCGAGACGGCCCGGAAGCGAGTTGCAGTCTGTAGGGCGGTAATTTGGGACGACGGGTCGGTTTCGGTCTAAAAACAGGACAAATTCAGACCGAAATGATAATCGATCCTATAATTTAAGCACAAGCTCAACCCAAATAGTAAATTGACACGATCTGAAACCTGACTCGGACCTGAATCGAAAAAATCAGATTTTGAGTCAACCCGCAACCCGTTTGTGAAACGGGTCAGATACGGGTTCAGATTTCCGACCGGTTTGAAAATGGGTCGGATTCGGTTTGACCCGCTAACCCTCGAGTCGACCCAAATTGACCTGAAAGACACGCTCAGCGTCGTGTCATCCGTCAATCGGTCGCGGGTCGCGTAGCAGTCGCGTCAGACATCTCGTCACCAGAGGTCGCGTCACGCTCATTACAGTCCCGCTCGTTGCTCGAACTGTCGCTGGCCTGGCGCCATCTCGCGTGGATGCTCGCAAGTTGTCAAACTGAAGACCGTCGCTAGACAAACACCAGCTGCCCTGTCACTGCCGCTACCATCAAGCCCGCGAGATGCCACTGCCGGCTTACCACAGTCCCCCTTGAGAGCGGAATGTCGTCGTCCCTCCCTCAAGGGTCTGGTCGGGTTAACCCGATAACCCACACGGGTCGGGTATGGGTTGACAATCCTGACCCGTTTGCAAAATCGGATCGGGTTAGTGTCAACTCGTTTTAGGTTGGGTCAAGTCGGGTTCGACCCATTAACCCAAATCGACACCCCTATAGTAAACTAGTGACCCAGCGGCGTCACAGTCAACCTCTCTTTTGAGGTTGGATAAAATATAATTATGAAATGCACCATTGTCTATAAATCACAATCGGTTAGTTAGTTTTTTTTTTTTTCGAGCATATATTAAATTTGTAAATATATTTTATTTTAATGACATATATATATGCATAAAATTTTCCTAAATATAAAAAGATAAAATAATATTACAACTTCTCATATATATATATAAATTTATAAAATTTGCATTCTAATAATGTCATTAATTACTCATATAATTATGATCAATGCATACTAATCAACTTTTTAGTCATAATGAGTTTCAAATTTATTTAATTTACTTTTAGATAAATATAATACCAATTTTGATTAATTATTCATAAATTATATTAATCTCAAAATAAATCTAATGATCAGAGAACTATAAAAATCAAATTTTAATGTTAATTAGAATACACTGATCATTTTTTTAGTACATAGCGATGCAAATAAATAAAAAATTAGCAAATCGCCAAATAATGTCATCTTGAACAAAATTTTAACTCTCTTTATATCGGTTGCTTTATTATTTAAGAGAATATTTAATATTCACCATCGAGAGAAAATAAAACAGTGAAAATTGAAAGATTAGACATGCAACAGTCTGTTTCATAGACGCCTCTTATTTCCTTCATTTACAAGCTATATAACATCGTGTAAAATATTCTTTTCTTACTATGTTTGTCAAAGTTAGAATAAAAGTACCTTGAAGTAGACATTTTATTAATAATATTCTAATTCATTTGATCTTTTCGAACTCTTCAGCCAATTAAAAGCAAACTCAAACACACATCATATATGCAAGCTTCTAACTCAAAGACCTCTTGATTGATTATCAAAGCTCTCAACTAATAGATCAAGGTGAGCTGCATTTCTTTTGTTTGTTTGACAATTAATGATGTTAACAACGATCACTCGTTAATTCCGCCACACCTCTAGCTTGCTATTTTTTCACAAGAAAAAACGAAAAGAAAATTTTCAATAATTTTTTCTGCCAATAATCACCGTTTTGATCATCAATAGTCATATGATACCAACTGATAACTAAAGTATGATGTTTGTTAATCAACATCTTCAATACGCACATTTACGATCTCTATCATTTTAACCGCGATCAATATCGTATTTTGAATGATATTTCGCATGCACCATCCTCGTCAATACTTTGCTCTTATTTGGTATTTTACAATGTGAACTTAATTCTATTAATCTCTATTCCATCAATTTGTATAAGGGCCCACACCTCTTATTATTCTTCACAAGAAAAAGTTGATGGAAGATTTTTAGTCCATCCTCCCCACCAACAAGAACCACTCAATCCAGTACCCCCCCTAGTTTTCTCTGAGATGGCCAAGAATTCTCCACAGCTGATAGCAACTCTATTCCTCCTCCTGCTTATCTCCACAGGTAATTAATCAAATTATCATTATCTTCTACTTAATCTCTCTTTAATCCAAATTAAGTTCAGTAGCACAATTGAGAACTAGCTGGATTAGGGTTTATTGCAGAATCATCTTCTTCCTTGAGCAGCACTGTAAATGAAAAGCTTGAAGGCCTTCTTCAGCAGGTATCTTGCAGGCAAAACAGTACTGACTGTGTACAGATCTGTGGCAATTACTGTCAATCTCTCTGTGGTCATTCATGTCCTCTTATGAGATGTGATAATGGAAGCTGCTTCTGTTCCTGTAATTGATCACCAAAACCCTAAACTTAACAATCTGCAACACATGACAGGGTCAGTAGAAGAATAATTTTTATCAACAGTTCATTAGTTATTTGAAGAATCAGTGATTCAGTTGCAAGTATAGGAATTAGGAAGTAAAGTTTGTTAATTGTTATAATTATTTTTTATTATATTGTTCATACCAAAATCATTTAGCTATATATATTGTTCTTATACCAAGTGTTTAGATTGTTTAGAAATTAATTATTCTCTTACTATTTTAAAGCTGTCTTACTTATTTATTTCCTAGAAAAAGATATTTTGCAAGAAGATAGAAGAGAGAATTATATTTACAGAGAACTAAAGAAAACAAAGATTTCTGCAAAAAATAAATAAAGAAAAGAAAATTTTCTTCTCATTTGTTGCAAAAATGTAAAAAAATTGTTCAGTCTGTTATTGCAGAAGCAATCGTATATATTACTTATTGTCCTAAAGGGTTTTTTTTCTAAAATTGTTTATGAAATTTAAAAAAAAAAATTGTAATATTTTTCTCAACAAAGTTTCAATTAATTTTCTTAATGAAATCTCAGATATTTTTGTCTTGCACTTTTTTGAGGATTTTGTGAGTATTATTTGAATTTTAAAAAAATAAATAAAATTTTAACGCAAAAAAAAAATTATATATAATTTAACAGTTGCACTTAGCATGGATGATTGACCAATAAGAGTTCAAGAAATTGAACTTAAATAATTAAAATAAGATTAACGATGATGATGATAATTAAATTGTAAAATGTGAAAATACAGCGCTCCATTTTATCATAAAATGTTTTTAAATATATACATATTGTTGCGTCCAGGAGTATTCGCGGCGGTAGAGAAATATTATATTTAACGTCTTAGCATTGTACGAAGATCTGGCACGCAAGCAGATAAGGAGAGAGGGTCTAGCATTTATGAGACACCAAGATTTTTACGTGGAAAACCCCTGTAAAAGGGGGAAAAACCACGGGGCCTAGCCCAGTTTGAACGAATCCACTAGAGTGCAGAGTCAAAAATATATAAATATTTGGTATTTTGTAATAATGTAACTATTTATTTTTATCATTGTTTGTGTTGTTTGTCATTTTAAGCATATTTTCATTCTGCTTTTAATTTTGTTAATTCATTATTTTTTATTGAGTGAAAGAAGTTGTGACCCATTGTTTAGTGGATGCGAGGTTGTTTTTAATTCATCATAAAAAAAAAAACTTATTTTTTATTGTATAGAAAAGGTTGGAGTGGATCCAGATAACATTAGAGAGAATCATTTTAGATGGTTTGGTTACATAGAACGTCGGCCTTCTGAAGACCCAGTTAGGAAAGTAGATGTTTTAGATCCGGACCAGGTTAAGTAAAGTAGAGATAAAACCCAAAAAGACTGTTAGAAAGTATAAAAATTATAATGTACGTGTGGTCACCGGACCATTCATAGGCGAATCACGATGCGCTATACGTCACCCGATACACAGCAAAAAAGTGACGTAGCGTCCTGATTTGCCTCCGAACAACGTCCTGTGACCACAGAATAATTTCCCCAAATCTACATACAATCTAATTCATAAAAAAATCATAGGAAAGAAGTTTTCTGATTGCTGAATTTGCGCTGCTGGAAGGCATTTTCAACATAATTTTTTTAGCAGGCATGTGTGTACTAGAAAATCTCATTTCTGACAAATTTTATCTATTATTTCAATAAGTTTGTTCTTCAAAATAGATTATTTTCTTGTACTTTAACATTTTCAGCTGCCTTGCTCTGTCGATGGGGGGTTTCTTCCCTCCTCTTCTCTTCTTCTTTTTGTTTGGGTCCCCTCTCAAGAGAAATGAGGGGTTATTTATAATTTTTTTAGGATGTCATGACCTGTAAATAGGAGGATGATCAAGGGTAAATGTTGAGTGGTTCGGATGGACGGCCGATATTGAATCGCTTGATTGTGGACCGTTCGTCAGACATTTGATGGTCTTAATGATATCAAAATTCGGCGATCTTGGGCTCGTTGGATTCGTCTCGTCGAGTCGCTCGATTCAACTATAAGTATGTCATATTTGGAAACCATTTGGTAATCCAAATTGTGGTTTGAATCTTCCAACAACACTTCGGGTCTTCGATCGAGTTGAATTTGGTGTCATTAGGTTCGTATTTCTGAGACGCTTAGTTTGACTGTAAGTTTGCCAAAACCAGAATTCAGATGATTCCAGATTTAATTTTTGAAGCTTCCAACCTGATCTAGCCTCGAGATTCATGTCCGATCAAGATAATTTTTTGATGAGATATCAATTTTTATTTTTGACCAGTAATTGTCTTCTATCATAGAAATGTGGATTATATTTATTATATTTTCTTATCTTTTGACAAAAAATTCAAATATTAGATCTTCACTTTAGACATGAAAGACAATATTAGTCGTCCAAGTTGTAGGTAATCAGTCATACTTTGCTTTATTAAAATAAAGAGTGATAAATAATAAAATATATAACTTTAATTTAGGATCTTCTAAGAAAATCCTTGTCTTTAATAATATAGACATGCTCTAAAATCCTTTGGAAGTAACAAAATTTGATATTTTTTTTCCCCCACTTTCATAGTGGTTAGGTCATCAGCACTTCTGCTCGTTTTCAGCCTTTTTGAAGTTTGAAATCACAAAAATGATAATTTGACGATAGTACATCACAGGTAATATATTATTGGTGAAACCTTTTGGGTGCGATCGGATTCCATCATAACGTTGCCGTTAAGCATGTTTGGGCGAGAGTAGTACTAGGTTGGATGATCTAAGTCCTCGTGTTACACCCCTTTTTTAATCAGCCTTCCCTTTACCCTTTACACAGCTCACCTTGGTCTGTTAGTTGAGAGCTTAAGCTACCAATTAAGTGGTCTTAGGTTCGAGTCCTCGGTCTTGTTTATGTGATATGTGTGTGAATCTGTCTTAATTAGTCTAAATGTCCAAAAAAAAAAGTAATATATTATTGGTGAAGAGTTTGAAACTTCATTCACTTTATTGCAGCCCAAGATTTTATAATGAATTTAATAATGTCTAAAAGACTTTGGTTTTCTCCTTGATGACACTTCCTCTTAGATATGATAATTACTAGATTTTCCTTTTTTGGGGGCAAAGGGGCAAAATTTATAAGAAAATTGTTCTGAAAAAACTGTGTTGAAGACTGTACAAAACACTGAAAGGGAAAATCAAATGGGCATTACTAAAAACAATGTGGCATAAAAAATAGGTCTCCTGAGAGCAAGTTTACATACAAATAACTCTTCGTCTTTTATTAAAAATAAATGAGAGGAAAGACAATAAGTTTGGCATTACAAATTACCTTCCAAGACAGGACTTGATCAAATGATGCAACAGCTTCCAGCTTCTCAGCAGCTTATGAAGACGGAGTTCAATTTACATTTAGACCGTGCTGGGCAAAGGGAAAAGCTTCTCAAGCATGCGGTTGGAGAGGATTCCATTGGGATCCAACTCCTTGCGAGCTTTGTTATAAGAATCAACTGGAAAACGCTTTCTTAATCTTGTTTGCAGATCAACGAGCTCCTCCTTGTCCTTAGGGATCTGCAGTCAGGCTTCCATCAATTATATTATACCAAACAGAAGTGATTTTGTTCTTTTTGATGGGTTCATAGTTCACATTAAGTAATGTGATATATTATGCCTGATTTGAGATGTAAAAAATAAAACAAATATAATGCAACAAACACATAAAAGTTATTGGACACTATTTGCCACTACGTTCACATAGGCATACGTTAGTAGATCACAGTCAATGTAAGATGATTGGTGTGATTATCCTCCTTTAAGAGAGATTATTCTGTGCGGATATCGGACAGGAGAACCATCCGGTACCGCTTGGTACCGAGAGCGGTACTGACGCTCGGTACTGCTCGTTACAACGCTTGGTACTGAGGGCGGAATACTTTTGGGGTGAAGTAGTGCATTTTTATTGGCCTCTGGACGACATCCGGACTCCACACAGAATATTTTGCCCCTTTAAGAAGAGGGGTGAGTTTGTGCAAGCAGAACATCAATGACGATCAATTAGAGGTTTCAAGTGATTGATATTAGTAGAACATCTCGGTGGACTTATCATTTCAACTTATTTACTAAAATCGAAGTTAGTGCAACCTCCGAATAAACTTTTGAAGCTTTTGGCAGTATAATTTAAATATTTTTAGATACAATTCTGCATAAAAACTCATGCTTGATAAGATCTATGTTGTGAGACATTAATACCAAAATTAATTCCAAGAGAGGACAATGATGAAGAAGACATATAACTTAAAATTCGATAATATGCTTTGTTAATAATCAACAAATCATAAAGGTATGGCCCCCATCTTCCCCAGCCTTGATTAGGATGCCAAGACCTGAGTTTCGCTATGAACTCAAGAGTAGCAAAGTTGTTACGTTGCTGATAGCTAAACCACCTCCTTCTACACCGGTGAGTATTCCAATTGAGGTTGAGATATTGTTAAATTAATTTCCTAACTTGCTGACAACAAGCACTCAACTTGAACTCCCGACACCACAGGATATACCACACCAAATCGACTCCATCCTGCTTGTGAGCTTTCCTAATCAGCCACACTACTAGATGTGTATGAAGGAGAACGACATTATACAAAGCATTATTGATGAATTGTTGTCTTGTGAACTCATCTGAGTGAGCCTTAGTCCCTATGTCATACCAGCTAGGGGTTAAACGAGTTGAGCCAAGCTTGAGCTTGATTAATTAATCAAATTTGAGCTCAAGCTCGAGCTTAATTCTATGAGTTTGATTCAGCTCAAGAGCAGTCTCCTCTAATATAAACAAGAGAAAAAACATTTGATTCTTATTTTTTATTGTAATTTATGCTGCACCCCTGCGTTCACAGAGGTGTTTGTTCCTTTTAGGTTTGTTGTTGCTGCATCTATATTGTGAAGGACTTAAGGAAAAGGCAGACAATAGAATACCATTTTGAGTTCATTCCTGATACCCGTTTTGGTTTTTTAGCCCAGTTAGAACATTCTTCTACACTAATTTTAGCTTTCATTTAATCTTACAAGAATTACATATTCATTAAAAACGTCAAATAATGCAACTACAATGTGATGTAGGACAATGGAAAAAATCCTAAATGAAACTTGCTGACCAATAAAGCATTGGCTTAAAAATTTGCAACTTTCTTAAACTCATCAGATGAATAGTCAAGAAATGGATCATGTCAATAACTCAAAAGGACAGGGTAGATGAAAAGACAAGCGCCATGTTCGCTTAAGAAAAATGACTTTAGGCACGGATCCCACCTAGGCTTAAGATTCCATTTTTTTTTCTATTGGCAGATTGATTTTTAATTAGTCAGATTTTCCCCTGATGTCTATACCGGAGGTTTATTTAAGTCTGAGACCTTGCTTCCCATGAATGCAAGCCCTTATGGTTAATTAACCCTCTCACTTCTGGGGAGCGCACTCGCGATTAAGGAGGAGTCACTTTTAGCATAACTTTGGAATTTTAAGTTTAATAATCTTGGTTGTGTCATTTGTGGGGGATAGAGATAAACCCGATCAAAATCTCATGATTCCGTCATCCTGGAAATACTATAGATCTCAGTCTACCAGCAGTAATGAACCATTAGTTGTAGCATCCAATGAATTGATCAACAGTCATGGGTTGCCTCCTCTCAAGAATCGTGAGTTGATTGAGATGGTTCATTGTTGATTTTTGGTATGTCAGAGTTTGAGTTTGGGACTTAATGCTCCCTTTAGGAGCGCCTCGGTGTTTGGGTTTATTTAGTTTGGAGCTTATGACTCCTAGGAGTTGCCAATAGATTTAACTTTAAGATATGATGTATGACCTCACTTAGAAGTTGTTTATAGATTTGATTTAGGATTGAGCTTATGGCTTTATTTAGAAGCTGCCTATAGATTTGGTTTAGGATAGGTCTTATGGTTTCACTTAAAAGTTTCCTATAGATTTTGATTTAGGACAGGACTTATGACTTCACTTAGAAGTTGCCTATAGGATAGGGCATGTGGCTTCACTTAGAAGTTGCCTATAGATTTGATTTAGGATAGGACTTATGGCTTTACTTAGAACTTGCCTATAGATCTTGTCATCTTGATTTAGGATAGGGCTTACGACTTCACTTAGAAGTTTCTTATATATTTGATTTAGGATACGGCTTATGGCTTCATAAAAGTTGCCTATTAATTTTGGTTTAGATAGGACTTATTGCTTCAATTAGAACTCATCTAATGATGTGATTTAGGGCTTAATGCTTCAATTAAAAGTTGTTTGAAAATTTAATTTATTTGAACTTAAGAATAGTTCCGTGGTTTTACACTTTTCTCCAACCCCAACACCCTTTTTTTCGCTTTAGCATTGTTCTGTTGCATCTAATTTACAACTGTTTATTTGCTTGCAGGTATTGGGGCCCGCACTTTTTAGAGTTTAGTTTTTCTTGTGTTATAGATGTCTGTATGTTATATTTGGTGTAGTTGGACCATTGTATTTGGTTTGGACTTTGGATTGTTGCATTGAGCATTTCGATATAAACACTCTTCTTTTATTTATTTTTATTTAGCTTATTGTGTTTTATTTCAAATCAATCAATCAATTAATTAATTAATTAAAAGAAATAATAACAATAATTTTTTAAATAAGTAAAATTAAGATATTATCACTATTGCACAATAAATAAAATTTAGGTGGTTTTATTATTTTTTAATATTTAAATTTAATAAATAAAATAAAATTATTTTTAAAATATTAATATTTATTCAAGCCGCTTCAAGCTCGAACTCGAGCTCGAGCTTGACTCATGAGCTCGATAAACTCAATTCACGAGCCCATAAACGAGTCGAGCTCGAGCCGGCTCGGCTCACTTACACTCCTGCTCCCCAAATAGGGAGGTTGGGAAAACACTTGCCTTTCAATCCACCCGGCCAGATCAAAAATATGATGACGCGAGGGCTTTAGGACGATTATTCCCAGCACATGTAATTGGGTTTCAATCATGGTTTAAAATTGCGCAATAAGAGTCGCGCCTCAGTTCAATTTCGCCCCTTTAAGCCTCAAATCCCACGCAATGAGTTCAGGATTTGAGGTGTACGCCTCAAGTTTACTGAGGCACGCCTCGCCTCATGGTTGAGAGGAGTCCACCTCTAAAAATTAAAAAAAAAAATAACCTAATATATATTTGTTCGGTTCATACCCCCAACCCCTGCGCAGTCTTCCGTCAATTCTCGAAAACATATCTTCTCACTTCTTCTTCGAGCGACCTTTTTCCCTCTTCGTTTGGCGTCGGCTTCCTTCCACCGTTAGTTGCTCTTCGCCTATTGCTTGGAGTTATCTTCTACTGCGAGTTGGGTTGGAGTCTCCTTCGACCAACCGCTGAAAACTCTTCTTCTTCGTGGTTCCATCTTCTTCTCGGTATCGCTAGGTACATGCTCGATACCACTAGGTATATACTCGGTACCACTCGATAAAACAATGTTTAGTACCACTGGGTACATACTCAGTACCGCTCGGTATCTTTTCATACAAACAACTTACGAACTTTAAAAACAAGCATAACTTCAAAATTACTCTTACAATAAAAATTTGTACCCCGCCAGGGGGCAGCGCCCCCTTAGACCCCCGGCAGACTTGTATATTGTTGTATTCATCATCTTTAGTAATAGTTGTTAGTGTTAGTCTGCTTCTTCATGAGTGCATGCCTTGTATAAGTTTTCTTAATGTATAATAAGTGAAGCATTATGTTTAAGGATTTGATATATTGCACTACTATATTCTTCTCATAAATGATGGTCAGAAGGATAAAGCTGCATCAGGTCATAGAAAAGATCCAGCATGAAAATATAGCACTCATGTGGATGTAGAGGGAAGTGATAAAACATATATCTATCTAAAATGCAATTACTGTGATAAAGTTGTGAAGGGTGGTGTGACTAACTTTCAATAGTACGAAACCTGCCTTTTTTTTCTCTCTATCTCTTTTTCCTCTCTTTTTTTCCTTTCTCTCTTCCTCTTTTTTTCTTATATGCAAAAAATTTGTGCCAAATTTGTACACTCACGGTTCGAAAAGAGGCAGAGGACGGAACATAAGCGAAGTGCTCGAGTCGAATGCTTGGTTTGCACGAGGGCAGAGTGGACACGAACGCGTGATTACGTGTATGGGTTTTTGGTCGAACTCTGGACACAGGCTAGTAGGGGGTCGGGACTACCACTGGCTTGTGGTTTCAAACAAAAGCATGCACTGAGGGATGGGTGATGAAAGACTTCGCGCGGGACTTGTGAACCGAAGGCAGGCGTCAGGCTAATGACATGCGACTATGCTTGGGACGGCAGACTAGCAGCAGGTTGGGTCGCACAATTGCAAGTGATGTTGCGTGGGAGCGGGAGATGAAGGCTGGGGTCAAGCTCGTGGATGCAGGACCGTGGAGTTTTCCTCGGCTTCTTGTGTGCGGCACAGAGAGACGAGACGAAGGCTGTGAGACCGAAACTAAATAGTGAGCGTCTCTTTTTTTTCCATTAGCTTCTTGTGTTTTTGTATAACTGAACGGTTGAAGGAGGCATCAGTCTGGTCAAAAAAATTTATTTATTTCCTTTTTTTTTTACCTTTTCTCTTTTTTTATTTTTAATAATTCAACACGCCATAGAAGATAAAACTATGAGTAAAAGCTAGACAGGTTGTAATTATACCACCAAAATTACTGATCAATACCTCAATTTTAGCCCAGTGCTCATAAGCAGAATAATTATCCCATAGTCGTGTTTGTGCCAGATCTCTGTAAAGGAAGAATTCTTCTGTTATCTCCTTCCTCTGGCGAGCATCCATAGTAGGCAAATACATTATTATACCCACCTAGAAAAATATGAAATAGAATTAGCAATTAGATGATTGTAAAACTAAACATCATAAATTTTAATGCATAACAAACTATCACAAAATATAATGAAATTAATTTGATGGTAAAAAAAAAACTTAAAGAGCATTAAGATCTTAAGATCTAAACTCCACGACCGCAAAAATTCAGGTTAAAAGCAGTACCCCTCAAGGCCAGAAATTACTTTAAAACAAAAGCTATATTTTAAAACAGAAGCTAACACACTACTGTAAATGCAATAGCAGACATCAGTTATAAATAATAATAATAATAATAATAACAACAACAGAACAGGTACGGATGCTAAACATGAGAATCATGTAAAACAAGGCCATCTAGTTCCAAATATCCTTCACAGAGTCCTACTCAAGATATAGCAAATAAATTGCTACCTCAAGAAATGTTCATTTGTAATCAACCAGAAATCCAATGTTATATCATGATTTTGCAGATTAGCATACTAATAATGTCATTCAGTTATTTAATTTCGACATTATTTCAAATAATTATCCTAAGTAATTTGCTTTAACTTTTGCCTATTAAGTCCAGTTGTATAAGCACACCGCAGATTTACTATTGTGGAAATCTTCAGTTCCAATGACGATGATTTGTCAGAAATCAGAATAACAACTAGGAAAAAGTGAGGCAAGACTGAGATAAATAGAGAACCCAATTCCATGATATTCTTATATCTTACATGCATGGTAATTAGTAATAAACATAGATTACAATTACCATATTTTTAAGTTTACCCATCAGTTCAATGTCTTGAGGAAGATTAATTCCTATGGAGATATGATTTGTTTCTTTATAGTTACGTAGAGTTTTGATCTGATAATTGTATTAGATTTGCACAGAAAGCAACTACTGATGGAAATAGGATGGTTTTAGTATGTTGTTCCACACTTGGTAAATGTTTTTTTCAACTATGCTACTGGAAAGGCTATTTGAGGTGTACCATTCATTTGTATGTAAAAGTAAATATCAGTTTTTATTTCTTCCATTTAGAGAACATTTACCAATATCCAGTAAAGAATGAGAATATCAAAATTCGCACAGTAATAAGAATAACATAAAAAACTAAGTACCAGATGAAGCTGCAAACTTAAATTATAAACATACTGGAAAAAAAAAGCTACCCATGAGAATATATCATCTTCCTGAGAACTCCATGCTGGACTCATGAGACTCCTGCTGCGAGCAGTCCACCGTTGCTCTATAGGAGCCGGAGCTGGCACATTTTCTCTCTCTATAAGTTTCTTCAACTCCTCCATATATTCCAAATCCTTCATACTAGGATTTGCAAGAGTTCCTGCTGGAAAGCAGGTTTCTGATACCCATTGCTGCCCGCCACAATCAAAACCCAATATTTCATCACTCCAACCTACACGGTACCCCTCTGATTTTTTCCAGTATTCTGCTTCAGCTTTGTTCACTTCTACGACATAATCTTTGTTAAGAGGGTCTAAAGCAAGAAGCTTATCCCTCAGCTCAGTAAACGAAAGTTGATCTATATCTGGTTCATCAGGACTCTCACTTGTTCTGCAAGCATCTATAATTGGTAATAACGGAAAAAAGAATAAAATGTGCATTACAAATTACCTTCCAAGACAGGACTTGATCAAATGATGCAACAGCTTCCAGCTTCCAGCCACCAGCTTCCTCAGCAGCTTATGAAGATGGAGTTCAATTTACATTTAGATCGTGCTGGGCAAAGGGAAAAGCTTCTCAAGCATGCGGTTGGAGAGGATTCCATTGGGATCCAATTCCTTGCGAGCTTTGTTATAAGAATCAACTGGAAAACGCTTTCTTAATCTTGTTTGCAGATCAACGAGCTCCTCCTTGTCCTTAGGGATCTGCAGTCAGGCTTCCATCAATTATATTTTTCCAAATATACAAGTGATTTTGTTCTTTTTAATGGGTTCATAGTTCACATTAAGTAATGTGATATATAATGCCTGATTTGATATGTAAAAAAAAAAAAAAAACAAATATTATGCAACAAACACATAAAAGTTATCGGACAATATTTGCCACTACGTTCACATACGCAGACGTTAGTAGATCACAGTCAATGTAAGACGATTGGTGTGATTACCCTCCTTTAAGAGAGATTATTCTGTGCGGACATCAGACAGGAGAACCATCCGGTATCGCTTGATAACGAGAGCGGTACCGACGCTCGGTACAGCGCTCGGTACCCAGGGCGGTATACTTTTAGGGTGAAGTGGTGCATTTTTATTTGCCTCTGGACGATGTCCGGACTCTGCACAGAATAATTTGCCCCTTTAAGAAGAGGGGTGAGTTTGTGCAAGCAGAACATCAATGATGATCAATTAGAGGTTTCAAGTGATTGATATTAGTAGAACATCTCGGTGGACTTATCATTTTAACTTATTTACTAAAATCGAAGTTAGTGCAACCTCCGAATAAACTTTTGAAGCTTTTGGCAGTATAATTTAAATATTTTTAGATACAATTCTGCATAAAAACTCATGCTTGATAAGATCAATGTTGTGAGACATATTAATACCAAAATTAATTCCAAGAGAGGACAATGATGAAGAAGACATATAACTTAAAATTCGATAATATGCTTTGTTAATAATCAACAAATCATAAAGATATGGCCCCCATCTTCCCCAGCCTTGATTAGGATGCCAAGACCTGAGTTTCGCTATGAACTCAAGAGTAGCAAAGTTGTTACGTTGCTGATAGCTAAACCACCTCCTTCTACACCGGTGAGTATTCCAATTGAGGTGAGATATTAGTAAATTAATTCCTAACTTGATGACAACAAGCACTCAACTTGAACTCCCGCCACCACAGGATATACCACACCAAATCGACTTCATCCTGCTTGTGAGCTTTCCTAATCAGCCACACTACTAGATGTGTATGAAGGAGAACGACATTATACAAGGCATTATTGATGAATTGTTGTCTTGTGAACTCATCTGAGTGAGCCTTAGTCCCTATGTCATACTAGCTAGGGGTTAAATGAGTTAAGTCAAGCTTGAGCTTGATTAATTAATCAAATTTAAGCTCGAGCTCGAGCTTAATTCTAGGAGTTTGATTCAGTTCAAGCGCCATCTCCTTTAATATAAACAAGAGAAAAAAAAACATTTGATTCTAGTTGGAAAAAAATGATAAAAATATTAAGAAATTATAGAAGAAATAAAAAAAATACTAATTAATATGAAGAAACGAGATATGATTTTTAAATAATTTTAATAACTTAGTACTTAAACTCTTGAATTTAATCAATTATTAGCATATTTTAGGCTCAAAAGTTAACCAATCGAGTCAAATCTAGCTCAAGCTTAACTCATTGGCTCATGAGCTCAATCCACAAGTCATTTATAGAGCTGAGGCCAAGCCAACTAAGCTCAATTACACACCTAGTACCAACTCGCTTAGAAACCAATAAATACATTAACATGGCGGATATGTGTGTATAGCTTGACCATCAACATTGTTGCAGGCTAGAATATACGGGGTGATAGAATTAGAAAATTTTTGTCTCAGTATTGTACGGATATCCAACACACAAACAGAAGAAAACTGTAAAACCAGAATTTTTACGTGGAAATCCTAGAAAAGGAAAAAATAACAGGGTCACGCCCAGTTGAAAGGATTCCATTAGTGTTTGCTTAGACTACAAGTGGCTAACTCGTTCCTGAAATTAAGGACGATCAAATTACAATAATCAACTCCTGGGTCGAAATTTAGTTACAAACAGAGATTGGAAATCCAACAATGTTTGGTGGTCGGGCAAAAATCCGGCTTCAATTGACGGTTAGACAGAAATTCGGCGTCAGTTAGCTATCGTGCAGAACTCCGACGTCAGACAGCGGTCAGACAGAACTTAGGCTTCAGTCAGCAATCGGGAAAAACTCTGGCGTCAGTCGACTGCCGAGTGGAAGTCCAGCAATGGTCGAGGAGTCTGGTGGCAATAAAGCTATCTTCCTTTTCTTCCTTCTCTTCTCTTCTTCTCTTCTACCTTCACTCCATGCTTAGGTCCCCTCTGATGAGAAATGAGGGGTCTATTTATAATTTTCTGAGAGTGGCATGACTAGTAAATATGAGGAAGATCAAGGGTACATTGAGAGTGATTTGAATGGACGGCCAATGTTGAATCCCTTGATCGTGAACCGTTTATTGGGCATTTGAAGGCCCTAATGATATCAAAATTCGATGATCTTGGGGTCATTGGATTCGTCTCGCCGACCCGCTCGATTCGACTATAAGCATGTCACATTTGGAAACCGTTTGGTAATCCAAATTATAGTTTGAACCCTCCAAATGCGCTTCGGGTCTTTGATTTGGACTCATTTGGGCTCAGTTTGAGTTGAATTTAGTGTCGTTGGGTTCGTATTTTCGAGACATTCAGTTCAACTGTAAGTTTGCTGAAATCGGAGTTCATATGGTCTCTGATTTAATTTTTGAAGTTTCCAACTTGATTTTTCTTCGAGATTCGTGCCTGATCGAGATTATTTGTTTGATGATTTATCAAACATGATCATAATAAAAATTTGTTTTTGATACCTGTTTTAAGGAAATTCTCAACTAATTAGATAGGTCTCATATTTTTTCCAAGCTAGACCTTGAGAAAAAGCACAACCAAGTTCTAATTCATCTATGAGATGAGTGCAAGACCCAACCCGAACGGGTCGGAAAACCCAACTCAAATCTAATCTATTTATTAAACGTGCCAACCAGAACGTAGATTTTTCAAGTCGAGTTGGCAGATTGGATTATTTCTTGACACCCCTACTTTGTGGCACCCTTGGATTAGAGTCAAGCTTATGTTTATCATAATATTTATTATCTTTATTTAACATTTCACCATTTAGTCAGTTTTCCCATGTTCCTTTATTTTTTATTGTAATGTCTGCTACACCGAGCATATACGTGAAAAGGTTGGAGTAGCTCCAGTAGAAGATAAGATTATAGAGAGTCGTCTTAGATGGTTTGGTCACATAAAACAGCGGCCTTCCAATGGCCCGGTTAGGAGAGTAGAGGTATTAGATTTGACTTATGTTAAGAAAAGTAGAGGCAGACCTAAAAAGACTTGGTTAAAAAATATTAGAAATGACCTTTCTTTATTAGATTTAAACGAGAATTTGACCTTTAATATGACACAATGGATAAAAATGATTCATGTAGCCGACCCCACGTAGTGGGATAAAGGCTTGATGATGTTGTTGTTGTTGTTGTCTGCTACACCCCTGCGTTCACAGAGGTGTTTGTTCCTTTTAGGTTTGTTGTTGCTGCATCTATATTGTGGGCCCTATATTGTGAAGGACTTACGGTAAAGGCAGACTATAGAAAACCATTTTGGGTTCATTCCTGATTCCCGTTTTGGGTTTTTAGCCCAGTTGAACATTCTTCTACACTAATTTTAGCTTTTATTTAATCTCACAAGAATTACATATTCATTAAAAACTTCAAATAATGCAACTACAATGTGATGTAGGACAATGGAAAAAATCCTAAATGAAACTTGCTGACCAATAAAGCATTGGCTTAAAAATTTGCAACTTTCTTAAACTCATCAGATGAATAGTCAAGAAATGGATCATGTCAATAACTCAAAAGGACAGGGTAGATGAAATGACAACCGCCATTTTCGCTTAAGAAAAATAACTTTAGGCACGAATCCCACCCTCTAGGCTTAAGATTCCATTTTTTTTCTATAGGCAGATTGATTTTTAATTAGTCATATTTTCCCCTGATGTCTATACCAGAGGTTTATTTAAGTCTAAGTCCTTGCTTATCATGAATGCAAGCCCTTATGGTTAATTAACCCTCTCACTTCTTGGGAGCGCACTCGCGATTAAGGATGAGTCACTTTTAGCATAACTTGGGAATTTTAAGTTTAATAATCTTGGTTGTGTCATTTGTGGGGGGATAAAGATAAACCCGATCAAAATCTCATGATTCCGTCATCCCGGAAATACTATAGATCTCAGTCTACCATTAGTTGTGACGTCCAATGAATTGATCAACAGTCATGGGTTGCCTCCTCTCAAGAATCGTGAGTTGATTGAGATGGTTTATTGTTGATTTTTGGTATGTCAGAGTTTGAGTTTGAGACTTAATGCTCCCTTTAGGAGCGACTCGGTATTTAGGTTTATTTAGTTTGGAGCTTATGACTCCTAAGAGTTGTTGATATATTTAACTTTAAGATATGATGTATGACCTCACTTAGAAGTTGTTTATAGATTTGATTTAGGATAGGGCTTATGGCTTTATTTAGAAGCTGCCAATAGATTTGATTTAGGATAGGTCTTATGGCTTCACTTAAAAGTTCCCTATAGATTTTGATTTAGGATAAGACTTATGAATTCACTTAGAAGTTGCCTATAGAGTTGATTTAGGATAGGGCATGTGGCTTCACTTAGAAGTTGCCTATAGATTTGATTTAGGATAGGACTTATGGCTTTACTTAGAACTTGCCTATAGATCTTGTCATCTTGATTTAGGATAGGGCTTATGACTTCACTTAGAAGTTTCTTATATATTTGATTTAGGATATGGCTTATGGCTTCATAAAAGTTGCCTATTAATTTTGGTTTAGATAGGACTTATTGCTTTAATTAGAACTCATCTAATGATGTGATTTAGGGCTTAATGCTTCAATTAGAAGTTGTCTGAAATTTAATTTATTTGAACTTAAGAATAGTTACGTGATTTTACACTTTTCTCCAACCCCAACACCTTTCTTTTTTTTTTTTTGCTTTAGCATTGTTCTGTTGCATCTAATTTACGACTGTTTATTTGCTTGCATGTATCCCCTGCACTTGTTAGAGTTTAGTTTTTCTTGTGTTATAGATGTCTGTATGTTATGTTTGGTGTAGTTGGACCATTGTATTTGGTTTGGATTGTTGCATTGAGCATTTCAATGTAAACACTCTTCTTTTATTTATTTTTATTTAGCTTATTGTGTTTTATTGCAAATCAATCAATTAATTAATTAATTAATTAAAATAAATAATAACAATAATTTTTTAAATAAGTAAAATTAAGATATTATCACTATTGCACAATCAAATATTAAACTAATTGACATTTTTTAAAATTAATTTATTGTTCTCCTAAATAAATTTTAATTTTATACGCTCTCAAATTTCTCTCCAAAATAAATTAATAAAATTATTTTTAAAATAAAAAAAAATAAAAAAAAAATATTTTTAGAATTAAAACAATATTTATTAAAGCCGGCTCAAGCTCGAACTCGAGCTTGACTCATGAGCTCGATAAGCTCGGTTCACGGGCCCATAAACGAGTCGAGCTCGAGCCGACTCGTCTCACTTACACTCTTGCTCCCCACATAGGGAGGTTGGGAAAACACTTGCCTTTCAATCCACTCAGCCCGATCAAAAATACAACGATGCGAGGGCTTTAGGACGATTATTCTAGGCACAGGTTGTTGGTTTTCAATCATGATTTAAAATTGCACAATAAGAGGCGCGCCTCAGCGCAATTTCGTTCCTTTAAACCTCAAAGCCCACGCAATGAGTTTAGGATTTGAGGCGTACGCCTCAAGTTTACTGAGGCGCGCCTCGCCTCATGATTGAGAGGCGTCCAACCCCCACGCGGTCTTCCATCATTTCTCGAAAACAGGTTTTCTCACTTCTTTGAGCGACATTTTTCCCTCTTCGTTCGGCGTTGGCTTCCTTACACTGTGAGTTGCTCTTTGCCTACTGCTTGGAGTTATCTTCTACCGCGAATTCGGTTGGAGTCTCCTTCAACCAACTACTGAAAGTTCTTCTTCTTCGTGGTTCCATCTTCTTCTTGGTATCGCTAGGTACATGCTCGATACCACTTAGTAAAACAATGTTTGATACCACTAGGTACATGCTCGACACTGCTCAGTATCGTTCCATACAAACAACTTACGAACTTTAAAAACAAGCAGAACTTCAAAATTACTCTTACAATAAAAATTTGTACCCCGCCAGAGGGCAACGCTGTCATGCCCCGAGATCTAACTTGGAAAGAATGTCAATTAACCGGCCATTTACCAGAGTTATCTACAATTCTCCAATTAATCACAGTCTAAACAAAAGTTTATAAATTAAAAGCATCAATAACAAGTTGATTCATATCTCAAAAGTTCATGTACAATACTCATGAACTACACTACAAGTACAGAAATCTATCATGTCCTGAGTACAAAAGAATCACTATCAATCAAAAGACAAAAACCTGAAGATCCGGATCAATTCCTATCTTCTGCTCTCTTGCCCTGACCTGAAAATATCAACCACATATAATGAGCTTTACAAAGCCCAGCAGGTCACCTAATACCTATAACTGAAATCAAAGCACGGCGATGCTATCAATATGCATGTCAGTCAATCAAATTCATATCAGTCAATGGTCAATGAGTCTATGCAATACGGAAATCCATAGTCAATGAAACCAGTCAATGCAGCAGCAGGCTAATCGATAAATCTAGCTCAATCAATACACGTCAATCTCGAAGAAAATTAATCAATCCGTCAAATCAGTCAATCCGTCAAATCAGTTGCGTTGAATCAATCAATCAAATCAAATCAAATATATCTAGTCAATAAAATCAATCGGAAAAGCAATACGATAAATCTCAATCTATCCTATCAATAAGTCAAATGTAGCAAGTCAATACAATGCAGAATCAATAGTATCAATAAATCTATAAGCAATATCAATAAATCTATAATATCTATATCCGTAGCATCAATGAATCAATACGATATCTATATCCATCCATATCCATATCAATGTCAATAATCAATAGTATCAATGCTCAATGATCAATCAATGAAATCGTGCAGTAACAGAAACCCATAAAGTCGTCAATAAATCCAATCGGTAAAACATCAATTCAATACAATAAATCCGTCAATATCAATAAATCAATCAGAAATCAATAAATCATGCCTATCAGGAAATCCATACAATGCAATATCGTACACATGCAATTTCATACAATGGTCTTACTGAACAAGCATAAACACTGGCTATTATCAATAGTGATGTTGTAGAAATCCATAGTGCTGTTGTAGGTATCCATAGTGCTTTTGTAGATATCCATACGTTGGTTTCAACCAACATTCAACCAGGTTAAACACTGGCTATTATCAATAGTGCTGTTGTAGAAATCCATATTGCTGTTGTAGATATCCATAGTGCTGTTTAGATATCCATATGTTGGTTTCTATAAAAAGAGTCGTCACTCTATTGTCCGTCGGTCGCCCGTCGGCATATCTATAAGAACTCCTTATGACTCCCATCCATATATCCATAGTCGATATCCATAGTCGATGTTTAAAGGAAAGCCCGTCGGCCCACCATCCTGTACAGGTCAAGTCAATCTCCAACCAACGTTCAACCAGGTTTCCACTTATCTTTCAGTATCAATAATCAATTTAATAATCAATATAAGAACAATGCAGAGCAATCATATCAACATTCATATGCATATCCATTCAATTCATCAATATCAGAAAAATCGGAAATCGTACGAAATTCGGCAGCGTAACGGTAGTCTATCAAATTTACACAAAAATCCTACAAAATCACAATTTACCAAATTACAATAGAATGTTCACGACAATAATACAAGACTATTATTCTACTGAATCCACATTAATAAACATCCTGATATTATTCTATTCAATCAAAACCGCGTAGAACCCAAAATGACCGGTGAAATCGTTCCAGAAAACACTCAAATCGTGTAGAATATTCGTATCTATAACATATTAAAAGTTGTGCGGTGAAAATTGTGTCAATACAAAATCAGATCCAAAATTCGACTACGAAAACACAAAACAGGTCACAACACAATCAAAACTCAACATCTCTGAAAACAGAAATAGGATTCAGAGTCCTTACCACGAGATCTACACTTTCTCCAACAGCGGCGTCGGACGAAAAGCGCTCCGCGGCCTCCGAAACCCAAGATTTCTTCTCTTTTCCTTTCTCTTTCTCTCTCTTCAAAATTAGATATTTTATAAAAATGATTTTCTCTCTCCTCAAAACGAGCTGATTTTCTTATATCTTTAGTCTGATCGGCCTGGCCGATCGCCACATCGTCCTGGCCAATCAGAACAAAATCAAATCGTCCTGGACAATTCCACATGCCGATAATTAATTTGCCAAAACCCCTTGCTCTCGGGATTTTGCCATACATTGATCGTCCCAGGACGATCCAAAATCGTCCTGGACGATCCAGTCCAGAAATCATTCCAGAAACACTCCAGAAATCAGCTCTTTTCAATACACTGATCGTCCTAGACGATCTCAACATCGTCCTGGACGATCCTGGGAGGAAAAATCCAATTCAGAGAGGAACAGTAAGGGAACGAGGTCTCACAAGCCCCCCTTGGATCCCCGGCAAACCGGTATATTATTGTATTCATCATCTTTAGTAATAGTTGTTAGTGTTAGTCTGCTTCTTCATGAGTGCATGCTTTGTATAAGTTTTCTTAATGTAGAATAAGTGAAGCATTATGTTTAAGGATTCGATATATTGCACTAATATATTCTTCTCATAAAGAATGGTCAGAAGTAAGGATAAAGCTGCATCAAGTCATAGAAAAGATCCAACATGAAAACATAGCACTCAGGTGGATGTAAGGGAAACTCATAAAACATATATCTATCTAAAATGCAATTTTGTGATAAAATTATGAAGGGTGGTGTGACTAACTTTCAATTGTACGACACGTGCCTTTTTTTTCTCTATCTCATTTTCTCTTCTTTTTTTTACATTCTCTCTTCTCTTTTTCTCTCCTCTTTTTTCTTATATTAAAAAAAATTGTGCCAAATTTGTACACTCACGGTTCGAAAATAGGCGGAGGACGAAACGGAAGCAGAGTGCTCGAGTTGAATGCTTGGTTTGCATGAGGATAGGGTGGACACGAACGTGTGATTACTTGTATGGGTTTTTGGTCGAACTCTGGACACAGGCTAGTAGGGGTCAAGACTACCGCGGGCTTGTGGGATCAAACAAAAGCATGCACTGAGGGATGCGTGATGAACGACTTCGCGCGGGACTTGTGAACCGAAGGCAGGCGTCAGGCTAAATGACATGCGACTATGCTTGGGACGACAGACTGGCGGCGGGTTGGGTCGCGCGATTGCGAGTGGTGTCGCGTGGGAGTGGGAGATGAAGGCTGGGGTCAAGCTCGTGGATGCGGGACTGTGGAGTTTTCCTCGGCTTCTTGTGTGCGGCACAAAGAGACGAGACGAAGGCTATGAGACCGAAACTAAACAGTGAGCGTCTCTTTTTTTTCATTAGCTTCTTGTGTTTTTTGTATAACTGAACGGTTGAAGGAGGCATCAGTCTGGTCAAAAAAAATTATTTATTTCCGGTTTTTTTTTTTTTTTTGCCTTTTCTCTCTTTTTATTTTTAATAATTCAACACGCCATAGAAGATAAAACTATGACTTACAGCTAGACAGGTTGTAATTATACCACCAAAATTACTGATCAATACCTCAATTTTAGCCCAGTGCTCATAAGCAGAATAATTATCCCATAGGCGTGTTTGTGCCAGATCTCTGTAAAGGAAGAATTCTTCTGTTATCTCCTTCCTCTGGCGAGCATCCATAGTAGGCAAATACATTATTATACCCACCTAGAAAAAAATGAAATAGAATTAGCAATTAGATGATTGTAAAACTAAACATCATAAATTTTAATGCATAACAAACTATCACAAAATATAATGAAATTAATTTATGGTAAAAAAAAAACTTAAAGAGCATTAAGATCTTAAGATCTAAACTCCACGACCGCAAAAATTCAGGTTAAAAGTAGTACCCCTCAAGGCCAGAAATTACTTTAAAACAGAAGCTATATTTTAAAACAGAAGCTACATACTACTGTAAATGCAATAGCAGACATCAGTTATAAATAATAATAATAATAATAATAACAACAACAGAACAGGTACGGATGCTAAACATGAGAATCATGTAAAACAAGGCCATCTAGTTCCAAATATCCTTCACAGAGTCCTACTCAAGATATAGCAAATAAATTGCTACCTCAAGAAATGTTCATTTGTAATCAACCAGAAATCCAATGTTATATCATGATTTTGCAGATTAGCATACTAATAATGTCATTCAGTTATTTAATTTCGACATTATTTCAAATAATTATCCTAAGTAATTTGCTTTAACTTTTGCCTATTAAGTCCAGTTGTATAAGCACACCGCAGATTTACTATTGTGGAAATCTTCAGTTCCAATGACGATGATTTGTCAGAAATCAGAATAACAACTAGGAAAAAGTGAGGCAAGACTGAGATAAATAGAGAACCCAATTCCATGATATTCTTATATCTTACATGCATGGTAATTAGTAATAAACATAGATTACAATTACCATATTTTTAAGTTTACCCATCAGTTCAATGTCTTGAGGAAGATTAATTCCTATGGAGATATGATTTGTTTCTTTATAGTTACGTAGAGTTTTGATCTGATAATTGTATTAGATTTGCACAGAAAGCAACTACTGATGGAAATAGGATGGTTTTAGTATGTTGTTCCACACTTGGTAAATGTTATTTTCAAATATGCTACTGGAAAGGCTATTTGAGGTGTACCATTCATTTGTATGTAAAAGTAAATATCAGTTTTTATTTCTTCCATTTAGAGAACATTTACCAATATCCAGTAAAGAATGAGAATATCAAAATTCGCACAGTAATAAGAATAACATAAAAAACTAAGTACCAGATGAAGCTGCAAACTTAAATTATAAACATACTGGAAAAAAAAAGCTACCCATGAGAATATATCATCTTCCTGAGAACTCCATGCTGGACTCATGAGACTCCTGCTGCGAGCAGTCCACCGCTGCTCTATAGGAGCCGGAGCTGGCACATTTTCTCTCTCTATAAGTTTCTTCAACTCCTCCATATATTCCAAATCCTTCATACTAGGATTTGCAAGAGTTCCTGCTGGAAAGCAGGTTTCTGATACCCATTGCTGCCCGCCACAATCAAAACCCAATATTTCATCACTCCAACCTACACGGTACCCCTCTGATTTTTTCCAGTATTCTGCTTCAGCTTTGTTCACTTCTACGACATAATCTTTGTTAAGAGGGTCTAAAGCAAGAAGCTTATCCCTCAGCTCAGTAAACGAAAGTTGATCTATATCTGGTTCATCAGGACTCTCACTTGTTCTGCAAGCATCTATAATTGGTAATAACGGAAAAAAGAATAAAATGTGCTGCTTAGCATAGATAACAATTATACTATTGTAAGGAAGTTCAGGAAGAAGACAGTATAGCGGGCTATTAATGGGCCTGTTGAGCATTATGGATGTAGTTAGCAATATTGTATCGGTTTGGGCAAACTGTAAGAACAAAACTATAAGTAAATCAACCAAAAATAGCATGTCAGAAACTAAACAAGGTGAGTTATTTGGAATGGACAGGTTCATTTTGGGATCCAGTAAACCAAACCTGATGGGGTTAATTGCCAAAAACAATTAAAGAATATATATATATATATATATATATATATATTGGAAGATGGCAGCAATAGTAAAACAAAATAAAAACGGGAAAAAAAGGAGGGCTTTCCAAAGGGAACCGGACAAGTGCAGGAAATAGTGAAGTGAGATGGGGCTTTGTTCTTACAGAGTAGGCTTTAGAGCTTTGAAATGATCAAAATATTCGGTATCCAAGCTTTCTTATATTTCCCTCTGTTCATACTAAAGGATAAAACTTCTAATACTGGAAATTAAACACAGCCGCATAGCATCATACAGCTAGCCAACAAAAATAGGAAAATAAATATCATTCCTTGTCAGGTAATTTCAGTCAGCTACTCCAGGTTAAAAAGGAAAATTAGATCAAGGAACATGAAAAATACTTACAAACCAAAAAAAATCTGAGAAGCAAATGTCACTGACTATATCAGATAGGTTCCAATTAGATCTTTGGTTAGCCTGGCCGTGATGCAACCATAAAGGTTGCTTGAATTAAAGCCAACGGGCATTCCACTTGATAAATTTCAACAGCTGAAGCAAATACCTAATTTATAAATCAACTACATATCTGATAAACCTACCTATGTTTCTTGAGTGACTCACGAAATAGATGACGGACATGTTGTACTGCTTCCTCCTCTCCAAATTTTCGTGCCATTTTTGGCTTTTTCCACTTTGAAAGAGGATTACACTGTACAACAATGACAGTGTCAGTGTAAGGAATCCACAAGTATTTCACATGTTTATTTTCACCAAGCCATTTCCTGCAAATGAAGGAAAGGAATTCATTAAACATGGAAAGTATCCTTGACAGCAAACTTTATAATGTATATTAAATATAGATATAGTTTACTTGAAAAAAGAACAGGTAGTACTTGTGATTTTTTCTGATTTCATTCATATTAGATACAAATGTATGCTCCACAAGCTCATGCCGATCAACACACTGTATGGTGACTTCTGCAACCACTCCCAACCCACCTAAGCCACAGCGAGCGAGATAAAACAGTTCTGGGTCTTTCTCGGGAGAAACCTCTATTGTTCCTTTAGCAGGGGTCACTAATTTTATGCTGACAACCTGTTCATCAATAGGAGGTAGTCTTGCTCCAGTACCATGGGCACCAACCTGAAGGGTAAGTATAAAAATGAATAGAAATGTTTATGAAACGGTAAATGGAAATCTTAACTATCATAGAAAACTGAGGCAATAATGACAAGCAGTGTTTTGTCCATGAGAAAACATTTCTAAAACCAACATTTGAATAAATGGGCGATCAATATTACATGTATGAAGTGGAGAGCTTGAGCTGCCCCTGCAGTGAACACTGAAGATTTCAACTAATAATAGCAGCAACGAGGTAGGAGAAGAAGAGGAAAGATAAAGTAGCGGACTGCACACCGTTTCATTCATACTAACTGTAATTGTGCAAGTGTAGCTGAGTATGATTACATTTGAGAGTTGGTTTTAAACTAGAGGTTGTGAGAAGGTGGGAGGACATGAATGAAGCAATGAGGTGAAACCGTACTGGGAATGGCAGATTCAGTTTATTCTACTTTATAGCATTATCCTCCACACATTGAGAGGCTCGACAGGGATGATCAACTTGATGTTGAGATGTTTGTAACAGGAGCTGCGAGAAGAAATGTGGATATGACCCAAATCTTCAAGCATGAGTCAAGGGAAAGCGCATATGGGAGAAGAAATGTGGATATGACTCGATATAAGACTGGCAAGGTTTGGATCAATCAACATCCACATTTTATAGTTGGGATTAGGAATAAGTTTTCCAATGGCATCAGACACTAGCTTTGTAGGGCAACAGAAGGATCCATCTAGATATCCTTCATACCTATTGACATGAAAGGAGTTTGAGAAATCTGAGATTTCCATGTAAAATGATTTCATGAGTAAGTTGAAAGAAGATGATATGTTAATGTTAAAAAATAAACTTTATTTGAAATGGATAGGCTTGCCGCGCAGTCGTCTGATCGGGTTCTCCATTGGAGGTGCAATGTGAGATGAGGAGCAAGCCAATAAATCCATGAAGGTAATGTAAGGAAAATAGATGAGCCGAGGAAATGTAAAAAAAAGCGGAAGAAGATAATAATTTCGTAGGGCTCCACAACTCAAACACCATATGAACTACGAGTAATAAAACCAGATAGAGAGATAGGAGAAGAAGAGACTAATAGCAATGTGAGTAGAAAAAAATTTGTTGTGTTCACTTATTCAAGTTAGGAGCCTGAGTATGATTCCATTGCAAAGTTGGTTTTAAACCAGTGGTTATGATAAGGAGGAGGTTATACATAAAGGGATGAGATGAAATAGTATTGGGAATGGAAGCTTTAGCATCTTCTACTTTATAGCAATATCAAACACAATGCTTTGGAACTTAGATATCCGTAATGGAGCTTCGGATAAAAGTATTGTTGTCAACAAATGCATTTATGGCCTTCTAACTCTGCATTAAAATAATAAAATTGAGATTTATCCCAATTTATATCCTCTGCTATGAAATATATTTATAGAATACCCTCATAGAAATTACATTGAGTTGGTAATCAAATTTTATTAAGCTCAATTACATAGGAGTGGATATCTTAATGGACGATACAAGAAGAACCAGAAAATCAATGACACATAATGAAACGGCTAGAAAAGAAGATCAGTCTAAGTTAACATAAGTTTAAGTGGTGGATGATGATTGAGATAATATAGCTAAAACCAAATTAACACATAATGAAAATAAAGTAAGGTGAAGAAAAAGTTCATAAAACAATACTAAATTGTTGAGAAGAAATGGAGATGATACTATGCAGTTGAAGTTCAATCTACATAAGCATGGTTCTAAGTTAAGAACACCATCAACCTCATATACAATGAGGTCTAAGAAAATGAAACTTTGTATATAATCGTACAAAAACTAATATAAGTTATTGACAATGTTATATGAAAATTGTCACAAGTCAGTTGCGAGATGATTATGAAAAAGGATGGAGTAGCAAAGGCTTTAACAATTGAGTAACAATTGAGATATTGAATTGGAAATGCATATATATAAAGTGGAGCTCGCAATAGGGTTGAGGGAAATGTTCAATAGGGAGGCATAGAAATCTAGAGTACAGCTAGCAAAAGAGTTGATGATAATGTTAAATAGGGCATACATCAAATTAAAAGAAGACATTGGATTTAAAAGACTAGCAAATCAAAGGAAGATATGATACAAAGATTAAAATGCACCATACTAAGTCTCAACGAGTTTGACCAAAAAAAAAAGGTAAATTCTGACAAAAGCTAAGCTTTTGTAGCACTAGATTCAAAAGCATATAGAACTAACAAGGCTCAAGCTACTAAACCTTGTTTGGGGTTATCCTAAAGCTTCTTATGAAGCAGCTTGCAGCCTAAAACCCAAACAAGTGCCCAGTACAACTAGACTTAAAACTGGTTTGACTTAAAATATCCTCTTATGTAAGGGATGCAAATGGATGCAGTAGAAGTGTAGAACCAAACAAATGGTTCCTTTTGCTTTGTTGTAAGCTTAAGCAAAAAAGGAGATGGATAGATTGAGTAGAATTTCATTTAGAGGAATCAACTAGCAACGGTACTGTGCATAGTAGAATATCATTCAATGGGCAAACAAGCCCTATGACTAAACCAGCTATACATGTAGCCCATGAATTAGTTCACTAAGGAAACAGCTCAGCTCCAATCCCATAAATAAATAAGGAAAGGGCATATATAACTAATCAATCATCTCCAAGACTAACATATTGTGCCATGACTGATTCATTGTACTCCCAATCCTTTTTAAAATATTTGTGGAGCATAATATTGGATAAAGAAGAATATTGCAAGCTTGTTGTATTAATAAGGTATGTTATGTTTGAAGGAAGTGGAGGTAATGCAAATGCATTTTACTTCACAATTTTATATAGGTGCCTAATTTCAAAGCAATTAAAATACAGATAAACATAACTTAAAAACGTGAATAAATCAAAATTTTCTTTACCAATCCTATTGAAAATTTAAAAGAAAATTTTATTGGTCGTTATGACTAATATGTCCCCCGCCTGCAAGAAATAAAAGCTCAAAACATTATCATCAAACAAAAAAAGGAAAAAAATTAGTTACATTTCAACTAAACTAAACAAAACAAGGAGGTAAAAACCAATTTCAACTCAATTAATTTATTATCATCATTTCTTTTTTATTTCCTCTTTTTTCAATTCATCCTAACCAAATAGAGCCTAAAGGTATTTTTAATTTCGTATCAAATATTTGGCTCCAATAGGTAATAAGATTTTTTATTTATTTAAAAAACTATGAATAAATACTTTTTTAACATTGACAGCTCCCTAATAAATTGTATTAAACAAAAATGGAAGCAAAAATTTTCTGGTATTCCATCAACCAAATAATAAATTTATAAAAAAATTCAATCAATTTTTCCTCAGTCAAACAAGTGGGTTGAGAGAAGTATTTTCAGTTCAATTCCTTTACTACTCTCCTTTCCACTTCCTTTTCATTTCACTCCTTCAATTCCTTCAAACCAATGAGCAACCAATGAGCCTTAATCTTTAAAGTACAAACTAGAAAACTATTATTATTATTATCATTATTATATTGCAAGTGTTTAAGTAAATAACTAGAACTATTGATGCTTGCATGACAAGGGCTGACGCAATCCGAAAGCTAAAACATTCACCAAAAAACAATTAAAAGTAGAGAAAAGAAGAAAATTTTCAGAAGAGCTGGACAAAAATGAACATAAACCTGCAAAATGCCTCCGATCTGCTGTTCCCTGATGGAAGCGAAATTCTGGAGTGTGAGTCCGTGCTCTTTGAGCGCGTCCACGAGCTGAGAAACTCTTGCCCCTGCCTGCACCCGAACTCTCTTCTTCTCCTTATCCACATCGAGCACCTTATCCATGAGCGCGAGATTGACCATCCCAGCCCTCTGCAGCCCGATACCATTGGGCGAGAGGCCGGAGCCAACGGGTCGGATCTTTTGGCCACGCTCGTTCGCGTCGTGGACGATCTTCTCGAGCTCCTCGAGGTTCTCCGGCTGGAGGAAGACGCGAGTATAGACCTCGTGAGTGCCGCTCCAGTTGCTAACGGAGTGGAGATCTTCGGGTAACGGAGCGTAGCGGAAGATCTGAGCTTTTTTGTGCTTCGCGTTCGCGGGGAAGGGAAAGGAGTAGTAGGTAGCGACGCCGCAGCCCAGGATGAGGACGAAGTAGCCAGCGTACTTCCGGAATTCTGAATCTGACGAAGAAGAGGAAAATGGGCGGACGAAATCGAGCTGAGGTCTAGGGTTTAGGGTTTGAGAGCGGCCGAGGGAGGAGCGCAGTAGACCGGCGCACCGCCGGTAGTAGAGCCAGCGCTGCATTGAATTCTCTCCCTCTCTCTCTCCTCTCTCAAATTTTAAAATTTATCCTAGAATTTACGTATATTAACAAAAAAAATTTATATATTTACATATTTAACTATTAAATTTTATACTTATTTATTCAAATCATATCAAAATTTATGTACATCAAATATATATTTCATTATATATATTAATGATATTTGTATTTGTGATATGAAGATGTAAAGGAGTGCACCATAAAAATTATAGCATAATTTGAAAACAATGAGAGTGATGAGATCTTTCTACAACAAGAGAGATAACATGAACTTGATGCAAAATTCAAAATTCATCAGTGCAACTAGCGAGAATCATGTGATAATAAAACTTGGAAGATAAACATTTATGAGCTAAGACTTCTAACATAAATATTTTAAAAGAAAGACAATATATGATAAACATTTGGGAAGAGGAAAGTATCACAAAAAATGTTTTAAAAGAAAAATAATAATATTTGTGTATACACATATGTGCCTATATAAACAAGTTGTAGGTATTCAATAGTTTCCCATCAAGGAACTTAATCATGAGGGATCATATGATCAAAGTGGCACTCGTTTAAAGAGAGCATGACCCCACAAAGGCATAATTGGCACCAACTTATGCTTGGAATGGCTACTATCCTTTGTGCATATTGCAATGTGTAGACTTGTCATAGGAAAGCGTAACGATGATGTGGTCTATCTCAACGAGCTTCTATAAAAGACACTACCATGTAAGTACATGCCTTGAGGATCACTCCCCTTAACCCGAACCTGCTCTATTGTTCCATGATTAAAGCTACTAGTTTATCACATATATCCTCGTTTAAGCTACATGAAGTGAGCACATCTAAAAACTGTGACTAAGACTTCATTGGCTAGACTCGTCCCTGGCTTGCAACTGCCTTAGTCCAGGGGAACCATCCTTCGCTCATGGGGTGTCTCACCCCCGTAATCTAATGAAAGAATTAAATATCTAAACTTTTGTTTTGAACCATAATACGGAATATATCATAGCCAAATAAGTAGTCTAAAATAATAATTAAAAAAACATCCATCTAAATTCTCATTCCAAAATAAATGATGTACAAATAATTCATCATAAATTCATTCTATATATCAAAATATAAGAATTGAATTACAAAGTACCTTAATGGAAAAACTTCTAACAGATCCGCTCCTATCAACCTCGACTCTATTGAGCCCTTTTTTCTTTTCCTAAAATGTTATGAGTCAATAGAATGAGTATCCACAAACTCAGTAGGCAAACCCAATTCCCATTACATAAGATCAATACTCATATTTGTAATTTATAAATAAAGGTTTAATTATTAAAGCCAAATAAGCATGAAATAACTATTACTTTTCAAGAAACTTGTTAAAACTTATTTTTCTTATACCAAAATGTACAGGGTAGCAGAACAGAACGTCTATTTCCACCTATATTTTTACATAAACATTAGAGTGCACGTGTACGGGGATAACATATTGTACTTATCTATGGAACATTCTTTTGTATTTAACTCAATTTATTTATCAAAATATTATATAAGTTCAACTTATATCATTTAATATAATATGCAAGTATCTGAATTGTGATATGCATGTCCTAGTATCTGATATAACTCCACTTCACTTATGTCTCCCACAATCAACCTCCGTTAGGTGAAGGAGAACATCCTAAATCCCCTTATAACCCCACTTCTACTAGTGCCTTTCTTGAACTCTCACTCCTATATAAGTAGATGGGGTTAGAAATAATCTTTCACATCCGTACATAATAGATGAACCAAAATCAAAAGCAGACCAGAACAGAAAGCTAGGCTTTTATAACATAACTTATATTGCACTTTATCATTCTCCCATATTAGAACTTCCATCATATAATCGTGGATGCATATGCAAAGATTACCAAAATCTACAAGTATATAAGATGTTGAACTTGAACATAAACACACTTGTGCCACATTGTGGAGGATAATGCATGCATGATTGACACATTTCTTTTAACTTTTATTTTAAAAAAAAAATGTTCTTTAAAACATCATTTTAGGACCTTTAATGAATTATAAAGAATACTAGAAGAAATTGTTTTAAAAGAAAATACTTAGAAATTCATGTGGGTAAAATAAACTTAAAAAAATTGTTTATTTCTTTTAGTTAAAACTAAAATAAAGCATGATATAATATATTAGAAGTTACATTGTGAGAAGTTTTTCATACTTATTAAAATGCATTATTATTTCCTAACATTTCACGTAAATATTGGAATTAAAATCAGAAAAAGGACTTCCGTCATGTTATAGACTAATGTCGAACTTCGGCTCGAACATCGATTGATGCCGGACTTCCGCCAGACCACTGATTGTAGCAGGACTTTTGCGCGGCCACCGACTTTTGCATAACTTCAAGCCGAGCACCAACTGATATTGTACTTCCGCACGGGCCACCGACTATCGCCAGACTCCTGCTCGGTCACTAATTGACGCTGGACTTCAACCCGGTCACCAACTGATGTTGGAATTCCACCCAGCCACTAACAATGGCCGAACTTTTACCCGGACACATACTGTTGCTGGAATTCGGCCTGGTCATTAACGTTAGCATGCAAACTTTTTGCCTGATTATAGACTGGCGACAGAATTCTGCCCGATCACCGAATGACATCGGACTTCAACCCGGACATCGACTATCACCGTACTTCATCCCGGTCAACGACTAACGACGAACTTCTGCCCGATCACCAACTGACGCCAAACTTCTACCCGACCACCGACTAACATCAGATTTATGTCTGACCATTGAATGTCGTCAGATTTTCATTTGATCTCCACTCGTCACTAGATTTTATCCCGATTGTTGATTGTTGTAATCTTAACATCATCAATAGGACGTATCAATCATTTGTAATATATTCAAACACTAGTGTAATCATTTCAACTGAGCGTGGCCCCGTAGTTTTTCCCATTTATCAGGTTTTCCACATAAAAAAATATTGTGATACTGAATTCTCTATTTGTGTGTTGGATATCTATATAGCACAAAGATAAAAAATTCTAACTCTATCGCTACGTATACTCTAGCCCGCAACAATAACTTAGAATGAATAAAGCAATTTAATATATGTTAGACACTCTCAAATATTTTGAGCATACTCTGCGCCCTATTTTTTTCTCTCATTACTCAAACTCACTTCTCTCTCTAAGCTCTCTATCTATTAATAATACAATTATTTGCTAATAAAATTGAGTATCTCAAATATTTCTCTCTCTATAGATAATCAAATTACTTAGCTCCACTTAAAATATAAACCTGCCGTGTTCTCACATTAGCCTACACTAAACTCCAACTAACCCCATTATAAAATGTTTTCTAACAGCTACCAGATATCTGCTTACATTAATGACAAAACTAGCGCTGGCTTGACTTTATTGGCTTTGGCTGTGCCGGGCCCAGTCACGCTCCAGCAGCCAATAATCACGCGATGATTCCACGGGTGAAGTTTTGGGTGCGATCTAAATAAGTGCACTTAGCCTGCAACAAACTTATTTTACCGCCTCCTTTCTTCAAAATGTCTGGCTTGCACTTATTTGAGATGATCTTAAGCTAGCGGAACCGATTTACCTTTAGGAGAGTACATGAGGGTACAGCACACCGCTCCATTCTCCGAGCTGTCTGAATCCCGAGTAGGGATTTTTACCTATGGATGGCTTCAATTCGAATCAAACCTCTCTCTCTTCACCGTTTAGGCCTCCGTCGAAGGTGAAGCCGAAGCGGGGCTCCTCTTCCTAGCGCTCGCCTATGGGATTTTGAATCTGTTTTCGATTCTTCGACTGAGGTATGGGCGGAGAAAGGGTATCGCAGTTTGTTCTGATCTGCGAATTCTTGCGGGGTGTTTGTCTTGATTTGAGGCGAAACTGATTAGATTTTGGCCAAGTTTTTTAGGGTATTCACGGTTAAGAGAGTCTGGGATAATTTCATTACGTTACCTTCCTGGATCTATTTTAAAGGGACGCATGGTCTATGCTTGGTTTGTGGTTTTTGTATTATGTGGTACATCTAGGGACAATGTGGCATATTTGGGTTCTTTTGATTGTGCGTTGCTTGATTAGGTTGCTTTTAATTGTTTTTTAGCGTGTTATTATATATAAATCAACCATATCTGCTTATTGGCTGGTAGCTATTTTGTGATTCTCTAGGAATGTGGTTTCGAGTTAGCAGTGGCATTTGCGCATTGTTAAGCTATGCTATCACCATGAAGCTGCACATTTTCTTGGCTGTAATTGTGATCGTGTCATGTATGGTTGCAAACTTGCATTCACGTTTATGAAAGTTTTGAGTTCGCTGTATTGTGTTACCAGATTGAGTGTTCATTTTTTTTTAAATTGACATTTTTCTATTTTTTTTTTCTTGTTTTGAACTTCTCCGCTGTGCCTTGAACGCCTATGTTTGCTTGCTAAATTCGGTTTGACAAATCATTGATTGTGAACCAGCATGAACCATCCACAACTTGGACTTTCCAAGCTGAAGTCACCTGAAGCCTTGAGTTGGTTAGAGCAAATTCTCGTCAAGTTGCCCAAGAATCAATTCTTACTTCTTCCTTAATTTTGAGCTACTGAACTTTCTCAATGACTCGTACAGTTGCCTATTGGCTAAGACCATTTTCCCAAGGAACTCTATTACTTGCCTTGAGTGCTATCTCTTTGACTTGGTGTTCTTGCCTGAATAACTCACTAAGGGTGCTCGCTATCAATTTGAGACTCATGCGAAGGTCCCAACTAGCAGTCTAGCACCAACGATAATCCAGACGTGTACGCCACACAATTAATTACACTAAGTTCAAGTCATGTATTTTTTCCATAATCACATCTTGTAGTTTATTCTATCTCTTCGGCCTTGGTCCTAACCTATAAATAAGTGTCTATTGATCATAATTAGATATCATGTGGTCTTGTACTTCGGGGAAAAATTCTGTCTCACTGATCTCTCTCTTAGAATCTCTTTTAGATTCTCTCATAATCATCCCCATCTCTCTTAAGTGTCTCTGTAACCCTATTTGATTGGTTCATCTCTATTGAAGGAGTTCAAATGGATCTTATGTTTTCTAATTATAAGAGGATATTTGAAATTTAGTCTCCCACTCGCTTCCCTTATGCTCTTTAGGCTTATTTCCTATATTTGGTAGGGTCTTTGTATCATTCTATGGACAAAATTAGAACCAACATCCCATAAGATGTCGTGAATATAGTTATGATAAAGAACTATATTATGGATTGTCTTGTAGACAAGAAAAGGTCTTTATGCAATAAGCAACCTAACAATTTTGTCACCTTCGAGCAGTTGCAGGGCATGGAGGATAGTTTCACGAGGATGATCTAGGGAATCTTCAAGCACTTCTTTAAGTTATTTTTGCCATTCCCACACGAGAGCGTGAATCACCCATCTCTCCAAGGCATCAAGTGTGCCAAACCTTAATGATAGTGCTCCAACGTTTTTTTATGGGTGAGCCCAACTTCTCAGAGGAGAGTACAATAGAGGATCTTCTTCCCATTAATCAACAAAGCCTCATGCTTGCCATTTGAATGTTTTTTAGTACAAATAATGAAGGTTCAAGTTCAATCACATCCAAAATTCAAGATGCTAATGCTAAATTCTTATAGAGGGAAGTCAGATCTGATTGGCCATGCAACTTGTTTTGAGTCATCAATTTCTTATCTCATTGTTAGCGATGCTTTGAAACATAACGTCGGCTCCTCTTCACCATTATTAAGGAGACACCACTATTGTAATACTTTTTTATTTCTTCAACGAGCCCCTTTTTGACTTCAAGTGGGAATTCACAACCAAATTCATTAGTGCCCATAGTCTGCTAAAGTTTTCACAGGTTCTATTGATCATGAAATCATAGCTAAATGAATCACTCTATTGTTTCATTACTCGCTTTCAACAAGAGATGTTGGATGACCAATACTTTGGATCTTGTTGACCTGTAACTACATCAAACCTAAACGAACAGCTCACATAATCACTCGACCCAAGCTCTCGATCAGCCAGCCTCTAACTATCGCACTAACTCAAACATCAGTAAATCACACAACCCACGTCACTCAACTGCTCATTCCACGTCAGCCACGATCGATCCCACAACCTTCCCCACGATCTCAAACCATGCTCAAAACCGTCGCTCCTTATGACACAAAAGGCTCGTTCAGCCTCATTTGCACACTACAATTTACCTGTAAATGGAAGTCAGAGAATTTGTAGTGTTCTATATATTATGCTACAGGCATACGAGAAGCTCTTACAAAATAAACTAGTCTATCTAGGATATAAGCGAGGAACTTCTAGTTCATGTTACCATTCACTTGTAAATAAGAGCAAGATATTTATAGTGCCCATAACAACTAGCCTGTGAGCAAGAATAAGGAGCTTGTATCGAACAAATCAATCCACCTACGAGGGAGAATAGGAGAATTTATAGCAAACAAGATAATTCTTCTACTAGCACGACCTAGTAGTGGTGATTGAGCAAACACCCTCTACGAGCCGTGCTAAGTGATACTTAGAGGAGTTAAAACAAACTAAATGCAATAATTGAAATCCAGAAAGCATTAACGTCACCGAATTCACAATGTGTGCAAGAGGACAAAAGATGTTCGTAGGTCCTTAAATGAAATCTTGGCATTTTTCTAAATAAATTCACTTGGTTAAATGGATCATATTTAATTATTTTAAAATGCCTCCCTTATGTATTAAATATGATCCCTTAAACTAAATACGCCCCTGCATGTGCTCCGACAAGTGCAATAAATTTCTAAATGCCAATGTCTGAGAATGCTGCGCAGGGTCAAATGCTATAATTCGCATGTGCTCCAATCGTCTCTAAGTCCCAAATCCAACGATACGAGAATGTTGCGCGGGTCAAATATTGATGTAGGCCAAGGGGGGGTCAACACAATTCTATGGAGCCTTGGCTATTTTCGGTTTTGAGTTTTAGTTGTTGAATCTTTAGTTGTGCCAAGCTCATTAATATCTAGTGGAGAAGTAGCTCATTATGAGCTAATGACTTGCTATAAAAATATGAATTGGGAACAAGATTTGGTGTGTGGAATTTGCTCTTTCACATTCCTCTTGAAATTAAATTGCTGCAGCCCTTTTATAAAATCAAATTCAAAACCCTAAAACTATTGCTATTATACGATAGATTCATAACCTATGTAATCTCTTTAACGACTAGCCTTAATCGAAAGTTCTCTCATATTATCGGGAGGGGTAATTAACTATAGGGGCTTGCGCCTATAGGATACCAGAACTAAGATCAAAATGTCCTCACAAAATGAGGACGAAATCTCTGGGTAGTGTCTTATCTAAAACACAATCTGCCTTCTGAAAATTCCCCCGAAACCTAATCTTGTTAAAACTCTCTGCCATCATCGTCACACATACACTCAAAAGAAAAATATACGGATGGCGCGGAGAGGCCGGGATCATTCACACACATCATAAAATGGGAATTTTCGGAGCCCACAGATCTTTTATTGCCCGAATAACTCTCACACACAGTGCCTTCGAGAAGGTCCTTTACGCTACCTTTCTGGTTTGTAGCAATCATAGAAGTTGATTGAATCGGACAATATTCACATTAATGCGAAGGAGTACATGCGACTTTGATCTCCATACTGCATTGTTTTAGATTCTTTGGGGATTTGTGACTATACTCCTGATATCATAAAGGAAAAATCACACAACAATCTAGATAAGTTTATTTAGAAGTCCCAACATCTCTAATAACAACAAAACAACAACAACGTAGGGGTTTCACCACAAGAAATGAAAAGGGGCCTTAACTGTCTGCTAAAAAATTGAGGAGGTTGCCTTTAAAGTCTAGGTGTTCGATTTAGTACACTACAAGTGTCGCTGGTGGAGATCATAGATGCATTCACGAAGGGTTATTGTTGTGAACTTTTGCCAATACACACAATGCTTGTGGCTTGTCGTGTCTATCACGCATTTCACATTCATGATATGGAGAGCTATCACCACCTTTTTAGCTCATTTAAGAACTTGCCTGTGCATACAAACATAAAGAATTTTTCCTTTTTGAGCTTGGACGAAAAATTGATAAGGTGCTATTTGAGTAAAATAAGAACGAGCATGCCCCAACATAGATGATACTCATAATAGCAATTGGTTGATCGATTATTGTAGGAGCTATGGCTGAAGCATCAATGGAAGTAGACATTTGCTCAAATGTCTCTGATTAGAAGAGGTGGATGTTGCTTCTAGTTGAGTTGGGTTCAAATTCGCTTGAGCTTGGAATAGGCTGAAGAAGTTCATGATCTTGGAAACTTCAAGAAAGAACAGTAGTTGCAAGTCAAGTTTGAAATGATCTCGATAAAACACAACTATGCGTTAGAAAGTAAGTTGGGGAATCTCATGCGCCCTTATTGTGAAGCACTCTCGAAGTCACAATGCTAGCCATAGAAGTTTATCATTCTTCTCCTTGATGGAAGAAATAAATATCCACTGTGATTTGCAAAGCATTTAGGGCTGATATAACCAAGCCAGCTATCATTGAAGCAAGAACTTTTAGTGAAGAAGAACAAAGGGAGTAGGAGAAGGCAAAGTGCAAGGAAGCACATAGAGTGAGGTGGCAAGGTTGCAAATGCATAAATAAAGCATAAAAACATAAATAATGGAAAAAAAATGTATTTATAGGCAAAGAACATAGAAGACCCCAACTGCCATATGTCATATTAGCATGTTAATTTCATTAAGACTCTCATCACAGTCATTGATGTGACTGCCAAATCTTTGGGTAAAGATTTTACAATCACT